CACCAGAAGGCAGCGCAATAATTTATGATAATGTTAGTTGTCACAGCACTTTAGCTAAAAAAGTACTAGCGATCAGCAGCAAAAAAAAAGATTTCTTGGTCAAGATAACTCTTATTTTGCAGATATACAAAAAAGATTTAGTTAAAGTTCTAAGAACCAAATTGTATGATAAAACTTATTTCGTGGTCGAGGTCATAAAAAATCCAATAATATACCCCTTAGATTACCACCTTACCACTGTAATTTGAGTCCCATAGAAATGATATGGGCAAAATTAAATAACAAAGTTAGATGCTATAATATAAACACAAAAATATTCGACCATGCAATCAACATAATTAAAACTCATTGTTAATTAGTACCAAAGATCAGTTTCAGAGAATGAGTGAACTAGGTACTTGAAGAATTATATAAAAAACTTGGGACCACGTAAAACCATAAATTATGTCCTTGCACGATAGTGATAGCACAGATTCAAACTCTTGTTAGGACTAGTGTAGTTATTATTTATAAAATGTTGAAAGTTGCAATAAATTGAGAGTGAGAGGTGTTCCAACATTTTTAGAAATGAATGTCGATAACATCAGAATGGCTAAACGAATTTTGTCAAACTTGGAAGATTTATTTTTTGGCTATCAGCGCTACCCTGAGAATGTTAATTTACATTGCTTGTATTGCTGCTGGGGCTCGTTTTTCTACATGCCATAAATAAAATTTATTTGCTCGAAAAATTGAAATGCAGCAATGTCACTTTTATTGCGTCATAGATAGCCAAATAAGAGTCTAACATGTTAGTAAGCTGAAACTTTTTCTTGATATAACAATTGCGTATTTATAATTGAAAACTGAATCCATCATAGATAACAATTTTGGTTATAGGTATAAGCAGAAAATTATAAAAAATAATTTTGATATTAGCTATGGCGGAAGCGCACGACAAACCACAATAGGTAAATTTCGCCGCTCAATATGTCCCATCGCTTTGGCTGTACCAAGACCTGTACTCATTTAATATATTAACATATTGTACCAGACCGTGTGGTAGACCAATATTGCATATTTTTAAATAAATCACCGCGTATATTTTCAAAGATATATAACATGTGGTCACTGAAATTAATGGGGTTTGTAATAATTCTCACATTTGAGATATTAAGCGCTCCATCACAAAATGAACTTCACCACAACCTTTCAAAGATAATGGGTCCCAAAGTAACCCCACACTTGCCACTGTTGTCCTTCCTTATCTAAATAAAACTGGCTATATATCAAAATTTCTTAAAAATAAAACGTCGAAACAAACTTTTTCACTTATCCAAAAACATCTCAACATGTTCTACGGAGAATCTATAGATTGAAATACTGTATCTTATCTTTATAGAAGAGACAGAAAAACTTGTAAAACTTTTCTTATAGTGTTGTGTCAGCATAGGATAAATATAAAAATAGTTGAACCCGTAAGATTTTTATTGTGTTAAATAAGAATATGGACTTTTCAAAAATATACAGTTTTCTTTACAGTTCTTTTAAAAACCACCTCAAAATTTTGAATGGTTAATGATTTGCAATGTTCTTATTGTGATTAATGTTCTACGGAGAATCTATAGATTGAAATACTGTATCTTATCTTTATAGAAGAGACAGAAAAACTTGTAAAACTTTTCTTATAGTGTTGTGTCAGCATAGGATAAATATAAAAATAGTTGAACCCGTAAGATTTTTATTGTGTTAAATAAGAATATGGACTTTTCAAAAATATACAGTTTTCTTTACAGTTCTTTTAAAAACCACCTCAAAATTTTGAATGGTTAATGATTTGCAATGTTCTTATTGTGATTAACGTATTGGAAACAGCATACACTACATTCGATTGGTTGGGAATTATTTTGGGACTTGAAGTTTTCCTAGGTTTTCTATTTTAGGGTTTTTTAGTGAATTTATATCCCCATTAAGAAATATAAAAACACGTCTTTATGTTTGAATTTATTTGTTTATGCAAACTGAGATAAATTAAAATAGGACTGTGAAATGTATAACTTAAAAATTAAAAGTAGTTTCAACTGAACTTAAATTGTTCTTTTTAAACTTTTTAATAATTTCCTAAATATTTATTTGTTTTAAAATTTAGGTTACAAACAAAAAGGTTAGACCACCCAAGAGAATAACCACTAATTCTAAACAAAGTTATGCTTGTCTAGTAAAAATATTTCACAATACCATATTTATTACACGAGGCGGGAAAATTAATCTCTTAAATTTTAAATCAAGATAATTTTGTGATACAAGAGAGGTACAAAATGATTTTATTTTATTACAATATCTATTTACATTAAAACTAATCCTATAAATGCAGAAACTTTACCTAGACTGGAAAGTTAGTGAAAACAGCACTGCTGCATGGTAGTTCTACTAGGAGGTAAATGGGAATCAAGAAAAGTAAAACTCTTGTGCGTTATATATTAATTACTTTAAATATAAATATCAAATTCGATTTAACCCTACAGCTTTCTGGGGTTATCATACAAAATTCCTTTCGAGGAATATTTACTATAATGGAGATTTCAAATTATACATACGTAATTGTAACTCTTGCAGATCAAAAATTGTCACAGGTTTTGGTCACAAACCGTAGCGTTCGAGAGAAATTTTCAGAATTATAAACAATATGAGAATTTCATTTTAATTTACTCCTAAATATCACCCAAAGATGTTTTAGTCTTGCCAACCCTTGAAAGCGGTTGAGAATTTACTTAATTAATAAAATTGAGATCGTTTATATTTTTAATGAAGGAAATAGCAAAATACATTTTTAAATTTAGATATGTAAATACTAAAATTATTTGGAACTTTTTTTTTGAACAGGGAAAACCTTTTGTTGTTGCAGAAGATTACTATGAATTATATTAATATGATTTTGTTTGCTGCGAAGACGAAATCTACACCTGAGTTGATTATAAGTGAACCATTTTTGTCAAGATAGTTTAAAATTTATTTCATGCGCCAGCGCAGAAATCACCTAAGTATTTCCCTAATAACTAAGGATGTTTTAACCTGGGATTATTATGAATGTCATTGGGAACATATTTATGCTGTCAAAATATGCCTTGAAAAACTCACCAAAGATCTACACAAGTCGATGAAACATTATATGAAAGTATGATAAATTCCAGTTAAAATAGAGATGATGCTGATTCGATACGAATGATACAAATTTCACGTCTATAGTCAATGAAGTTTGACGAAGACGTTGAAAAGTCTCATAAGTTTTATCACTCTCAAACAACAACTTGGTTGGTTGGTGGAAACGTTTAAGCAGAATCACAATTCATTTGAAAGTTATAAATTCACACACCAATCACAAAAAACAAACAGAAAGCAAACACATAAAGATGCAAAAACAAGAAATCGGGAAAGGAAGAGATGCAAAGTAAGGAAGCCATTAGCTTAGTAATGCTAAGAACAATGTATTGAATTAATTATATAGTTTCTTATAAATGTTACATATTTATTTTCTTGGCCTTTTAAGTAAGTAAATATAAACATACTATATTCTATGTAGTTATGTGATAGTATGGCATCTTTATCTAGTTCATTACTGGATCATAAATTGATACAGACATTTTGTTTACTATTTTTGAAATGCACATCTAAAAATAGTATATAAAATGGCAATATAAGACAAAAATAAGATCATTTTTGATTACGTCACTATACGTAACGGCATAACTGCTATGACCGCAGTGTAGCTATTACAAACTTTTACGAACTTCTGAAATCTAATGAATGCCACGCGGTATTAGTTCACAGCATTGTGATATTATCTCCAATATTATAGTTTCTTTATGAAAAAAAATTATATTAATTTGTATATATTGGGCTCAAAACCAAAAATACCGCCAAATAAAATCAAAATAAATAGAAGCTAAAAGATCAGATTTTCACGAAATTATATATTTTGACATGGCAATTGTTTCGACAACACCGTGTCTTTATCAAGTGTAATATTTACAAACTACCTGCTACTATATATACCGAAAAATGATCATAAAACCTTAATTAATGTTGTTGTGAGAATTTAAGTTCAATAAAGAAGAGGTATTTAAATCTAATTGAACGTTAAGTTGAATGTCTCATTTTGTTAATCTCCATGGTTTCTAATAAATTTAATTTTCTACTTTTTGTGGCCGTATAATATCAAAATTGTCATCAAAAATGTGTTTTTTTGTGTTTAAGTATGTAGCATAATTAGAATCTAGGCTATTGCTTTTACAGGCTCTTTTATGTTCGCTAATGCGTTTCTTGAAGGATCTACCTGTTTGTCCAATATAAATTTTAGGACAAGATCCGCATTTCAACCTGCAGACACCTGTTTTTTGAGATTTTGGGCATTCCGTTTTATTGTTTTTTAAAAATTTTCCTATTGTGTTGTTAGTTCTGAAAGCTATTTTGAAACCACATTTTGACAAATGTTTTGAAACTTTTTCACTGGGTTCTCCTATGTATGTAATTGTTTTAAATTGTTCGTGTTCTGTTGTTGTTCGGATAAATATATTGTTTGGACAATGCCGTGTCTTTATCACATTTGATAAAGACACGGTATTGTCGAATCAATTGTCATGTTAAAATATATAATTTCGTGAAAATCTGAACTTTTAGTTCTTATTTGTTTTGATAAATGGATTTTCATCAAGTAAAAGCCACCTCAGTTCAAATCGTCATAACACTGGCGATTTCATCAGATGGTACGTTTTTAAGTGCTTTTACGCGTATGGTTTTAAACCCATCAAGACGAATATGAATCTTCAGTTTTGCTACTAGAGTTTAGCACAATAACATAAAACAACAAGACAAAGTTCAGCAAGTACAAAGTAGAACGCTAGCCAGTTGCTGTTAGGCTCCTAAGAACCCCACAGGATGATTGGGTAATCGTCAGTAAATTTGATTTATCAACAAAGGACGCAGAAGGAATACAGAATATTTGTAAATATTACTACAGCTGTCAAAGTTTCTTTGAAAAATTACGATTGCCATTTTGGACAGGATAACTTTTTGGCGACGTAATAATTAAAAAGCTGCAAAACTTTGAAATACGCAATGAAACTATTTCACATTTCTTCGCTTGACATTCTTATGTTTCTTCTCGCTCGCCCGTCTCATTCGATAAAACCTTGCAAAGTTCGAAGCTCTCATTTTGGCCTGCAGAAATGTATCTTCTCTCTTTCGGATTGTGTCATCTTCTGGGACTGTATGGATGTCCTTTGTTACATTTCGATTTTTCCTCTGGCTCTGTTCGACCGTACACAACATTTCCTTCAGCAAAGATACATCATCCCTTAAACTCCTGATGTGTTCTATCAACTTCTCTTTAAATAAAGGTACATTAACAGTAAAGATATCGAAGAAATTCCCTTGAAAGTCGTTTTGAGGATTAGCTGCACTGAATTTTGCACACAGGGTTGTGCTAATTTTTTTTTCGATCTCAGCGACAAAGATCTGACTTCGACATTCGTGTAGCATGGTTGAATGATCACTTGTTACATTTTCTCTATTCAGTAAGTGTTCGTCCTCACTGCTTTTATCATTTTTATCTGACAGTCGAAGCGCCAATGGAGTGCAGAAATAATAACGAGATCCAATAATTTCCAACAGATTGGTAATGCGCAAGAGTGATTCTTTTAAATGTCGGCGGAACTGTTGGTCTTCCGTTTGGCACTCGAGATTCTTTGTCAGCAAGATTCCCAGATAACGTTCGATTTGGGTCAGTGAGTTTCTTCGACGATTTTCCTAAGAATAGCTTAAGTAAGTTGCGTGATTATGACACACGTGATACCCTCATACCCGCTCGAAATGATAGCAACTAAACAAGTTCCTAACGTACGAACTAATCGTTTTCCAAAATTCCTTGATTTTTCGTTTGCATAGACTGACAATTTTGAACATGTTTTCCTAAATCCGCATTTTGACTTTTCGAGTGACTTGTCATCGAGGTGCGAGTACCGTCATCAATCAATGTCAATTAAAAAGTAAATTAATTCGTTCGTTTTGCCAAACGCAGTGGACCGTTATTTAGTTTCAGAACCGAAATTAGAACAAGTATTCCGGGAAATCTGCAGTGTGCAAGTGTCAAATATTGGAAGCGGTTTATATTTATTATATGCAGTTAATTGGTTGCCTCATTCGACGAGACCTAAAAGAAAAAGTTATTTGGATTACTTATTACATGTACTCCGTATCATCATATCTTAAAAATATTATTAATATATTATTATATATTATAATAACATACACACCTATGACATGAATGTTTATTCCATGTTAGGCATGATTTTTAAATGAATTGATTTTTATGAAATTAACTACAGTGATTATTTGTATATTTTTGGGGGTTCTTTTTCACGTCATTGCTTTATAGCGCTTTATATCTTAAAAATACAATTAATATATTATTATATATTATATTAATATACATAGCTCTGACATGAATATGTTTGTTCCATGTTAGGCATGATTTTTAAATGAATTAATTTTTATGAAATTAACTGCAATTTGGCAACACTGGATAATATCAACAATCCAAATAGTTATGCGGTAGTTATGTCGTAGTAAAGCAAGAGAACACTATAACTTTTTATGTGAGAAATGTATACCACACTTATTTTGATGTAAAAATTGGTGACCAACACAAGTCCTGTTTGTTCCGTTTGCGTCGAAGCATTCAGAAGTTGGCAACAAAAATTGGAATGCCGTAAGCCTAGGAATCACAGTGATGATTCTTATTTTCGTTCGTGTAATGTTGAAGGAATCAACAGAAAAAATAAGAAACAGAATCACATAAGATTTCAGAGAGCGCGAAGTGTTTAGCAAGAGCGAATTAAATGATTTAATTAGAGATTTGTACCTTCCAAAAAATGCATCCGAATTGTTAGCGTTCAGACTTGGTGACAAGCGTTTGGCGTCGGTTCCCGTTGCACATTCGGTACATTTAAAATATACGTATGAAAATTTAGGACTTCTTTTGAAGAAAATAAATTATCAAGAACAATGGATGCTTTCGGTGACCTTAAAACAGGGATAGACAGCAAAAATATATTAAGATATAGCTTAGTTGGCCCCTCTCATATCAAACTTGGCTTGATGGAGCTGTTTGTTAAAGCCCCAGATAAAAATGGACAGCGTTTCAAATATCTGTGCCAGAAATTTCCAGCGATATCTGAAGATAAAAGAAGGTACTTTTGTTTGGCCGCAGATAACAAGATTATGTGAAGATAAGGATTTTCAAAAAATAGTAACCAATGTCGAGAAAAATGAAGTAATTGGTTAAGTTTTTTGGGAATTAGTTTACTAGTATTGTTCAAAATATGTTACGAGACGTCAATGATGTAATATGAGTTTGAAAGTGCATTTCCTGCTTTCACACTGAACTATATTTCTGAAAATTTTGTAGCACTTAGCGAAGAACAGGGAGAGAGGTTTCATCAGGACTACTGCTGGATTTGAAAACGGGGTATGCCCTTTAAAACACACAGCTGAATGTCCGCACAACGCAGCTGTCTGGCAAAACAATTTAGATTTCAGTCATAATAGTCTAATATTTACTTACTTACTTTAATATTTGCAAAAACAACTTAACAATCAATCAATGCTTATAGTATATTATGCAAGAAGTGCGCTAAACGGCATTTGCGGTAAAATTTTTAAGTCACTCGTTTATTAAACACTCGCTCCGCTGGTGCCAAATAAACTCGTGAGTCAAATGCCGTTTACTGCACTTATTGCATAATATACTATTTTCTACTCCCTATTGTAAAATACTTAATTATACACCGATCTAGCGTGCGGGAAGCGTCACTTTACCATCTGAGTTTTTTCTCCAATGAATGTAAACCACTTCGGACATTTCCGGGATAACACCGCAACGCTTTGGGAGCAATCGGATGTTTTCGGAGATTAGTCAATTCTGACAGTCATATTAGTGAATGTATTCGTGTTGTTTTGTAAAAATGTACCCAAAAACTAAAGGTCATGAAAATAGTATATTATGCAACAAGTGCAGTAAACGGCATTTGACTCACGAGTTTATTTGAAACGAGCGGGGCGAGTATTTAATAAGCGAGTGTGCCGAACGTGTTGCATAATATACTTTTTCTACTACCGTTAGTTTTTGGGTACATTTTGTAATTAGGTATTTTACAGAAGGGAGTAGAAAAACAATTTTGATACGGGGCGAATGAAGTAATAATTTAACCTTCCAGTGGGGTTGTGGAATTGACAGGTCATTTTGTTATGTTAATTGACCAGTCAATTGACTGGTCAATGGACTGAAATAATTTTCAAAATACCGTGAAATTTTTATATACTTATTTATATTAATTTATATTGTGCGCTGCGTTGCCGACGCGTCATTCTGGGATCTAAATGGAGTCAATATTAGTATTTGGTCTAGTCTGTGTACATATAGGTCATATTAAAAATTAGGAATACCTTCTTGGTAGATATGCAGCAATATAGATATGACACTGCTTTAAATAAAATTTCAAGGATATTCTATAATACTACACAAAAAAATCATAAAAAATACCTATGGCGCAGTGATTAAGTGTAGAATAATAAAATAAAATACCCGTTAGTTAGTCCTATTTCCTGTCCATATTTATTTATCTCATTCCAATTCAGAATAAAGTTCTATTTAACTTTCATTATTTTACACCGACGGACTCGCTATGGTTAAGTATGACAGTTTTGTTACAGAGGGCACAGTATAACAATTATGTGGGCAGCACCAACATATATTTGGACAAAGTAAGCCTTACCTCAGCATTGAACAACCCTATCTCTTGTGTCCTTTAACACATTTAACAGATTACCCCAGTATGTTAGTAGAACAATTAAAATACGGTAGAACAACAAAATCTTAACGGTCAGTAGAAGGAAAGTCTAACTTCTGCATCCCCCATCCCCCGGGGGATCTTGAGATAGCAAATTTACATATTCGCAAGTAACCTTTTCATTTAGTTCGGCTAATGTCCGAGAGATGTCGCGCATAATTTAGTTCGGCTAGTATCCGAGGGATGTCGCGCGTTAATAGTTCAGGTTTTGATCGCCAGATGTCACCCCTAGACATTACAGATTCCCAAGCAACCCTTTAATTTAGTTCGGCTAGTTCGCGCATTAATAGTTCTATGTCAGGGGGTAGTTTTTGTGTTTGTGGTTTTTTTGTTAATTTTTTTTTTCGTCTCCTGTACTTTACGTCGCGAGCCCGGCCGCGGCGTTGCGTTTATATCGCGGAGCCAAGTGATTAGGTCACCGCGAGTGGCATGCAGAGATAAGAAGCTTATTCGGTTCGGGGATCCCGTCATTGCTATAGAAAAACGTTAACAGCGTTTATACGCGCGACCTCGGTGACCTAATCATCTCGCTCCGGGATATAAACGCGACGCCGGCAGCCGGGCTCTCCTCCCGCTCGCGTAAGCTGCGTATTTGCAACGTGCCGTATGGGCACTATAGTTTATTTCTTAAAAAATAATTGACAACGATTGCGGGTGTGTATATTAAATAATTTACTTATGCGCGACCCGGGCGACCCAATTGTCTTGCCTTTTTCGCTGCAGCTTTTTTATTTAATCAGAAAAAAAAAACGAAGCGCCAGTGGCATCTAGAGATAAGAAACCTATTTGGTTCGGGGATCCCGTCATTGCTATCGCAAAACGTTAACAGCGTTTACAGGAGCAGCCTCGGAGACCTAATCATCTCGCTCCGCGATATAAACGCGACGCCGTCGGCCGGGCTCCCGACGTAAAGTACAGGGGGAAAAAACTACCCCTACCCCATTAGGGGTGACATCTGGCGATCAAAACCTGAGCTATTAAAGCGCGACATCTCTCTAACACTAGCCGAAAGGGTTGCTTGGTAACCTGTAAAGCCTAGGGCTGACATCTGGCGACCAAAACCTGAACTATTAATGCACGAACTAGGTGAACTAAATTTTGCGCGACATCTCTCTGACACTAGCCGAACTAAATGATGCCCGACATCTCTCGGACACTAGCAGAACTAAATTAAAAGGTTAATTGGGAATCTGTAAATCCAGAACTCTACCGGAGGACGGGAATGCAGAAGTTAGGCTTTCCTTCCTTAAATAAAAAAGCTGCAGCGAAAAAGGCAAGACAATTGGGTCGCCCAGGTCGCGCACAAGTAAATTATTTAAGATACACACCCGCAATCGTTGTCAAGTAAAAACAACGACCTACAAAAATAATCTGCTAACAGTGCTTTATCATTTGTTTTGGGGTTGCTCTATTGAGTGTACAAATGTTTATTAATTTATGTTTTGTTAGTATATAAATTATTGTTAAAGCAAGAATTGTAATTTATTTTTGTTATGGTATTTATGTCTGAATAAACATCAAAATTAAAACCTACGTGGATTGACATCGAGTCAGCAGTTTTGCTTAGCTGAAGACTGCGAAGAGCTGAATACCTATACTTTTTTTTTCGGGTTGCAGTTCAATATTTTCCTTCTCTATTTATGTATGAAAGACTGTCGCGATAAGTCGAAACTTTGACAGACGTTTCCTATTTCCCTTCGATCGATGTCTATAAAGGAAACTAGCGATACAGCCGGGCCGTTACCGCAAGACACGGAGTTTTATAGCGGCGTCTCCAAATTTAATTTTCCCAATGGAGACAGTTACGAAGGGGGATTCTGTGCACACGTTAGCGGATTAGTGTGGAGGCAAGGAATAGGTAATCATACTAATGTATTAGCAGACCCGATTTTTGGATTAATCTATATTCTAGTCCGACACACGATAAATGGTCATGACTGTAATAATACTATTAACGATTTTATCTGCTCCTAGGCAATAAATCAAACCCATTAAACGCTATTAGATACTCTAGTGGCCTTACTGCTGTGAAAATTGAAGCGCCGCAGGCGGTATTGTTATTTCTCTACATTTTGCACCATCTTCACAAAGTGAACTGTTCTTTTTCAAAAAACTTAAAGAGATCTAGGCATATTTTGAAAAAAAAATCCAAAAAATTCAAATTGGATATTATAGCTTTTACACTAAGGAGGTGAAGGCTTTTAATATCTAGCAGAGCTTATAAATACTTTGAATCTGGTTTTTGTTTTAAACGTGGCTACTACTATAACGAACGGCCAAGAAATCATATGGTAGACATTGTAGACATGAGTATCTTAAATTGAATAATTTATAATAATAATTGCCTTTTTAAAAATGAGGGACATATAGATAGATAGTTTTATTCACAAAGCCCAGTATGTATGCAGTGGATGTTTCGTCAGGAAACGAGTACATTATAGAGTAGTATAAAGATACATGGAATTATGAATATAAATAATACGACAACACACATTTAACAGGACTGTATAGAACAGTTACAAACGGATATACAAACAGTACAAACATATTGACAAAACGTAGAGAAAATATCACTAAACTCATCAGGGCACTCCTGTAATATATGTTTCAAATTCTTTCAGATCTTAGAAAGCATTGGTTGTCAGGAGCTTTCTGATGCACTTTTTAAATTGTCTTGTAGATAATGCTTTTATGCTTGTAGGAAGCAAATTATAGTAATAATGTCCTGCGTAATTTAGCTACTTTTTGTAGAACGTGTGGTTCAGTCTTGGCTTTAGAAGGTGTTCTCTGTTTCAGGTGTTATAACTGTGGACATCCGTGTGTTTCTTGTGAGAGCCTTTATTTTTATGAATTTAATTTAAATAAATATATGCAAGGCACTGTTAGTATTTTATACTTTATAAATATATCTTTGCAGGATAGCCTCGGGGGCAATCTGAAAATCAACCTAAGTATCTCTTTTTGCTGAATGAACACCCTCTCCGCATCACTCGCTTGTCCCCAGTTTACGATTTTAAATGAAATAAACGAGTATGCTGAGGCGTAATAGAAAGTCAACAAGGATCTTTCAAAGAAAGAATCTCTGATTGTTAACATTGCAATAAACATTTTGTTCAGTTTATTACAAACACTATCTATGTCGTAGTCTCAGTTTAGGAAGGCATCGATGTAAGATCCGAGAAACTTTGTTGTGTGGTTTAATTCCACGCGTGAACCCGCAAAGCTGAACGCTAGGTTAGTCAGAGGTTTAACATACTGACCAGGAATTCGATCGCAACTGTTTTTTCCAAATTTATGATCAAATGATTCTGTTTGCAAAAATCAACAAACTGTGCCACAACACTAGAGAACGGACGTATTGATAATAGTAGTTAAATATGGAGCTAAAACATCTCCACAGGTTTTTATGAGTTGTATAGGTATTTCATCGATTCCAACAGATCGCTTGTTTTTGAGTAATTGAATTGAGGTTAGTACCTCTCTATCGGTGTATGGCATGAAAAACATACTCTTTGCCTTGGTGATGCAAGTTTAGAAACTGTACCCAATGCATCTGGTATGACAACCAATGTTCTAATTCAAAATTGATTTCTAATAATATATTTTTTAATTAAAATAATAGTTTTGTTTTTTAATTCCACCTTTCATTAAAACAGATGTGCGAATTGCGTAGGTTGTTTGTTATATCATTATAACCTGTGTATTGGTTCAAATGTGAAAAACAGACGTCAATATTAATTTTATATATCCATAAAGTGTGGATTCAGTCTTTAGCCATATTGCCAATCTGTCAGCGCCCATGTTGGTTGTTGAATGCCACAATAACACTTTTTTAAAAACGCGACCCTAAAGACCCTATCAGTACCGTGTCACTTCAGTGTTAGTACCAGTGGAAAAAAAATATCGTTGCCTTGAATCTTTAAACACAAGTCCAGCTCAGTACCGATGTTTTACAATCAACGGTACTTCAGTGTTAGTTTCGTGATTTTTTAAAAATTGGGAATAATATTTTTTACAAAAATTGAACTGAGGTGGCTTTTACTTGACGAAAATACATTTATCAAAATAAATAAGAACTATAAGTTCAGATTTTCACGAAATTATATATTATGACTTGACAATTGTTTCGACAACACCGTGTCTTTATCAAATCAATCAACATTTGATAAAGACACGGTGTTGTTGAAACAATTGTCATGTCATAATATATAATTTCGTGAAAATCTGAACTTTTAGTTCTTATTTATTTTGATAAATTTTACATTTCACTGACAAAAAGTTTTTGGATACATTTTTGCAAAACAACACGAATACATACTGACATGACCGTCAGAATAGACAAACGTCAAAATTAAAGTCATGCCATAAAAGAAACTCACATGGTAAAGTGACACTTTACAGAAGGGAGTAGAAAAAATATTTGGGGTACTACAGAAAATTAAAACTCAAAAGTAAGTGGTACTTTTTATATTAAAACATAGTATGTTGATTGCAAATAAACAACAACATAAACAACCAAACATAAATCTAATCCATTCTATACGAGTACTTATGCCGTAAGTCTTAAAAAAAATTGCTTCTATCCTTTCGTTTTGCCATGATACATGTCCGTGTCTGCAGTAAAGCTTTATGTAAACAATTCTCTTGCTCTAAATGCGTCATTAGTTTTTTGAGAAACATTATTCAAGTTTGCATTTGGATAATTCTATGTACTTTTGATTTCTGTATGTGTTTGTTTATTGTTACTGATACTGAACTGACGCGGCACTGATACCTTAAATCTCGCGCATGCGCATATCGAATTGATCTTTTCAAAAAATTTTTCATATATGCTTCGGCGCACGCTTTCACGACTGCAGTGATTGAAAACATTGTGGGAAATATATGTTTTTTATTTTTCATAACATTTTACTTTCTCGTGATGCAATAACTCCTGCAATAAAGTTTGAATATGCGGGAATTTATCTTGATGATATTTTGATTTGCTGTAACGGGCCTGAAGTCATACCACCCTACGAGTTTGTCGTTTTTTCTTGTTTTGGTAGCAAGACCACTTCTTGTAGTGGATGAACCGTTTTTGTACCCAAAAAAAAATTAAAAATCACGAATTTGGAGCATTAATTACGAAACTAACAGTGTTGCCAAGCAAAATGAAATGTTTTGGTTTTTTCCAAGGTGATGCCTTGCATAATACGTTTCACAAATAGATTTATTTCTTTTGAGTGGAGGCAAATCCAATCGTATAGTATGTCCTTGGATTTCTTATTGCAGCCCAATATCCGAACGTTCTGATGCCCCAAAATCAAAAAATCTGTTGAACCGGATGTAATTGAGCGGAAACATGAATGAAAATGACGGAAACATCTAGGTATTTTATAAAACTTTTGTGCATTATTGGGGAGTCATTAAGATCGACTTTTAGTTTTCTGTTGGTCAGTTTCTTGCTGAGGTGAAAACAAGCAAGCCTTATTTTCTGTGGATCCGACTGAAGCTACCATTTACGGTAATATTTTGGGTAATATTTTCTTAGGTTCTTCAGGTTAGTATTTCTTCTGTTATTTCTGTGCTTTGGACGCAATCGGAGGCGTGTCACTAACGTAGAGGCTGAGGTATTGGGATTATTTTATCTTAATATGCCACTAGTGAAGAAAGCTTTTATATTTTATTTTTATATTTATATTCGAAGAAGACAAACTTCTAATTAGAAACTTCAGAACCAACAGATTTGCACCAAAATTGCATTTATCGTTTGTTGGATCTGTTGTGATGCATTGTCGAACAGTTTTTTACTTACAATTCCTCCTTCGAAAATATTCATTTAATCATTTTTCCTTTGTCTAGTTTTTCTAGATCGTAGCTAGGTTTTCATACAAAAGACGGTTTTCAATGTCGTCCTCTCTGTGGGTCAAAGACCAATCATGAAGAGAGTCTACAATAATAAAAGTTATCGTTGTACCTCTTGGTGTCAAGGATGTTGTTTTATGTTTTATGTAGTTATTATCCTTCAACAATAATTTTGAAAATAGAAGAGTTGGTTATAAAATAAATAAAATAAAAATAAAATAAAGTATTTTAAGGTAACATCACTTTCAGTTTGAAATTTTATGTTTATTTCTAAGAAGATTACAAAATCATCTATTGAAGATTCGAATTTTTCTATTTTAAAATTTAAATTTATATCGATAGTTGTTTTTCTATTATTCTGTAATATATTTTATTCTACATAGGGACGTATACTACAAAATGCGGCCAATTTTATCGAGGCGAATGGGATGCGGACAAACTACTGGAAAATGTTGATGCAGAAATCACCTATCCCGATGGCGCAAAATATATGGGAAAACTACTAAACGGCAAATACTCGGGTAATTATGGCGAATTATACTTCGCGTCAAAATTACGGCACCATTAAAATACGGGGTCAATTTCACTCGAATTGTATATTAAATCTTCAGGGATGATGTGTAGAAAAAACATTTTTATTTAAATTTAAGTTTTTGACATGTATGGAGTGTTAAAATAAAAACCGATGTTATACTCATTGTTTGCCAGGTTTTTTGGGAATTCATAACCATTACTAGTTACTAATATCCTTTACTAATCAATATTGACAGGAGTACATTATGATTAGAGTTATATAAATGTATCACCAAAATAAATAAGATCTAAAAGTTCAGATTTTCACGAAATTATATGATTTGACATGACAATTATTTCGACAACACCGTGGCTTTATCAAAAAGATTTTTGATAAAGGCACGGTGTTTTCGAAACAATTGTCATGTCAAAATATATAATTTCGTGAAAATCTGAACTTTTAGTTCTTATTTATTTTGATAAATGGATTTTCAACAAGTAAAAGCCACTTAAATAAATGTATTACCTTTTAATTTCACAATTGGGAATACCAATTTTTATATTGTAGGTACGTCCGTCGAGTCTTAACTACGTTTCGCCAACGTTGCGCTAAACATACTACTTCAGAAAATGATTTGATGATTGCTCAGCTCTCAGCTTAAATTTTGGCCTCATTACAGCGTCAGCATCCAATAAACCAAAACTAACCAAAAATCCTCCGTGACCAATTCATTAGTTTTCAGAGGAATATCTCCGTTGCAAACCGAATCCCGTAACCAAGAATTAACACATCTCACCACAGTTCTTCTCTACTTGTCGTACGGAGTCTATGGAAATAATCAATAACGACACCACACTGGTTTCTACCTGTCTTCCATTCGGGATTCGCTCATTCGCAACAATTTAAGCTCTCCCTACAGGGTAGATGTGTAGAGCAATCAGTAAATCAATTTCAGACAGGGCTCTGAAGAAGCCCTCAGCATGTTTGGCGAAACGTTAGCAAGATGTGTACCGACTAGTTCCACAGTCTGCGGAAGTTTTTGTGAAAAATTAATTTTTAAATTTGCTTTGATCACCTAATGCAAATAGTTAAGACGGGTACTAAAGAAATGGGTACCAAAAATCGTTGAATCTAGAGTCAATATTCCAAATCAGTCGGTTCATTTGTTAAACGAATTAACGATCATTCTTGCTAAAGCATGGAACTTCTTGCGTGTACAGTATAGAGAAAAATAATTTCTTGGCCTCACGGATAAAGTTGTTCAATTTTTTCAATTTTTTTTCATACTATTTTATCATTAAAACATATATTAAAATTTTATTTCTGTAAACAATGGTTTTATAGTAATAATGAGATTTTAAATTTTTTGGTAATGTATTCACTTTTTGTAAATGTAGATTCCCGAAATTTACCTGAAAGTGACATTTTTATAGTAATGACCTCTTTTAAGGAAAATTTGGAAATGTAAGGAATAAAATTGAAAATATAAGTAAGATAATTAATTTTAAGGGGATGATCCGGACTACTGAATATAGGTCGAAAAATAATTTTGTGATACACGTAAAACACGAATAATTTTTTAAACGTTTATTATTTAACACAAATTTAATTACAAATTACAATAACAAACTTAAAATAGTATGTACACTTTTCGAAACATTATTCTACCTAAAATACATATATAAAAATACTTTGCCCTGGTTACTTTACCATTAAAAAAAAAACAATATTTTTTGTTTTTTTGGACTCAATACGTTTTTTACAGAAACCGTTTTCAGTTCGAAAAATAACTCGTGTCGATCGTCGTATTATTTTCTCATGCCCATTGGATGCATTTTGTTAAAGCTGCATCTTAGTATTTAACATTCGGTAAAATTTGAACTTCCTTGTCCCTCGAAGGCTCGAATCGCTGTTCACGTTTACCTCATTAGTTTCAAAACCAATATCTTTGTCTGAGAATAACATGTCAGAACTCATTTAATTCATTTAATTTAATTTATTTTAAAGTCCTTGTGAGGCAATTTTCTTTGCTAGAGTTGCTCACGGAATGGTTTCTTCTTCATATTCTTCGTTCATCTACTTTGACAATGACTTCGACGACTTTTTATTAGGACTTGATGCACTTGGCGCCCTACCTCTTGGAAGAAAGAAACTTTTTTTTAAAGATTAATCCTTCTTGAGGTTGTTGGAATTTCAGTCAGATGTCACAATTTTTTCCAGCAGGTCCTTTCTGTAAAACAGTTTTACTGTTTGGTGTTAAGTATGTAACACAAATTTGATTGTGTTACATCGATGCCCTGGGGTTTGTCTGCCCTGGGATTTGTCTAATATTAATAGAGTTTTTTGGGATAAATCTAATTCTTTTAATTTTTTTCGTACTGGTATATGTTCCGTATGGAAGCAATCGTAATTTATGGGACCCAATAGCATATCGGGATGAAGGTTATTCTTGCTTTACTAATTTTTCTTCCTGATGCTGAATTTTCATTACCATGAGTTGGAGTTTTATTTCGCAAAACAAACCAATTTTGTCGGCATTATCCGGTTTTATTGGAGACCCATTTCTCAGGTTTTTGTAGTTTTTCTTTAAATGGTTCCACTATGTCAACATAACTTGAAAGAATTGACTTCAATTTTCGCTGCCGCTAAAAAAAACTTGGCCTCCTTACGTACAAGTTCACACGAAATTCGAGTCCCTTTTCCAAAAAGTTTAATGAAAAGAAATGATTTACAAAAATTGAGAATATAAGTTAAACGTTACTTCTATATGTACCTCTAGCCTTCTCTGGAATAAACCAAGTGTACAACTATTTTATTAATAAAAATGCAGTGCCTTACTCACCTTTTTCCTATAGTTCTCCATTTTCTCCTAAATGAACTCAACTTTCTTATTTAATGTGGCAATCATAGTTGGTTAGTTAGCCCGTGTCAGACCCTTTTTGAGTCATATTGATTTGTTGGTATCTGTGATGAAACAAGATAGTATATTTTCTACTCCCGTCTTGTAAAATACCGCACTTGTAGTATATTATGCAACAAGTGCGATAAACGGCATTTGACTCACGAGTTTTTTTTTTTCTACGACCGTTCGTTTTTGGGTACATTTTCGCCAAACTACACGAATACATTCACTGACATGGACGTCAGACTTTACAAACGTCAAATTCAAGGCGTGGGGAAATATGTCCGAAATCATCCGATTGCTCCCAAACCCGTGCGATAAAATCCCGGAAATGTCCGAAGTGGTTCGGATCCGTGGGAAATAAAAGTGACGCTTCCCCCATGCTAGATCGGTAGGTATGGTCTGCTCATAGATATAAGAAAGTGACCAATTGCGTTTGAATGGGATTATTACATTAATATACAATGCAACAAAATTATTACCTAAAGTTTCGGAATTTAAATTCAAGTAAAATTGTGGTCCGTAATAGAAAATAATTTTATACCTACCTGTGTGTATTTTTTGGCTTGGTATACTACTTAGTTTAAGTTTATTAGTAATCATTCTTATTTCGTGTGTAATACAGCGTATGTGGAATCGTGTGCGAATTATGCAAAATATGTGCGAGCATCTCAGGAGATGCTCCCGCCGAAATGTAGAAAACACTATTCTATTTAGGCTAAGGATCTTTAGAAGAAAGGGCCATATTGACTCAATCTCAACTGTAACCACACCTCAACATTGGCCAACATCAACTGTATGGAAAATTGTGAATACTCCCATTTCAGCGAGGAAAAAAAGAAGCGATGCTGACATTTTCTCGAGTGTAGATGAAAGTGATCAAGATATAATACGTCGTAAAATTTACCAGTTATTCGAGGAACAAAGCGTGCCTACATTAGATATCTTAATTAGGAGGCTTGAAAAAGATGAAACCGGTGTTAAATGTGGCAGAACTACCTTATGGAAGTGATTCAACTCATGGGTTTTAGATTTTAAAAAATTTACAAAAGGCAAGTTTTAATGGAATTCTGTAGTATTCGGAAATGGCGACTGGAATATCTAGAAAAAAAAAGGATTTACAGAGAACAACAAAGGCCAATTTTACTTGGATGAAACCTGGTTCGACACTTATGATACCCGGAAAAGGGTTGGGTTGACTCAACTGATAAATGTAAAACAAACGCGACATCAAAAAGAGGTAAAAGAATAACTATTTTGCATGCTGGCTCTAAAGATGGTTGGATTCCAAATGGACTTTCTCTGTCTGCGAAAAATATTAAAGATTCTTCTCTGGATTACCATGAAGACACCACCGCTGATTTATTTGAAAGTTGGTTTAAAAACAAACTAGTTCCAAACATTCTTCCTAATAGTGTAATTGTAATGGACCATGTAAGTTATCACAGTAGACAGTTGACTAAAACCCCTTCTTCATGTGACACAAAAGCAACAATCCACGAAGATTATACCAAAAGGCAATTAATTGAGGTTCTACAAAGGTTGAACCTACAGAAGGATTACGTCTGTGATAATTATGCAAAAAATCTAGGGCATACAGTTTTAAGACTTCCATCTTACCATTGTATATTTAATCCCATTGAACATGTTTGGCACCAACTGAAATCTGCCATTCGTCATAAGAATGTTTTCCCCGTGTTAACTCCAATGTTCTCAAACTTATAGAAACTGAAGTTTTTAACATCCCTCCACAAAGTTGGGCAAATTCTGTTAAACATATAGAAAAGGCAGAATCATCGTATATCCATAATGCAAATAATATAGAACATATAATAATTAGAACAGGCGATGATAACGATAGTGATACTGATATTATTTGAATAATTTTAAGTAATTTAAGTAGGTAATAAAAATAATTTATAATTTTATTTTAGATTTAAACAAAAATACATAAATAAATAAATAAATAAATATTGTTTAGTATCTTTCCTAACAAAACCCCAAATAATTAAATTCTAAGCAAAGTTCGGACCTGTTCGGCCATATTTCATTCTTACAACTTGCCCGGGTCTTTCCTTAATTCGTATCAGTTAATCGCTTTCTTATATCTACGAACAGACTTTAATTAGGTATTTTGCAGAGGGGAGTAGAAAATATGTTTGTATATGTATTAGTAAGCGGTGCAGATAGCTGTTAGTTAAGGACATAACTTTTATTTTTAATTGCATTTTGCAACTTCAGGTTTTAGTTCATTTAGCAATTGTGAAAAGTATGATGTGATAAAGTGTTACATTGTGTCAAACGAAAACGAAAAGGCAGCCAATGAACTTTATTTCAATACATATCCAGTGCGGCACCAACCAGGCAAGCGAATAGTTCGGACGTTGAAAAATAAATTTACAAAATATCAAAACCACTTAAATGTAGAAGACGAAATCTGGGAATTGAATATAATTGGAGATATATTGGAGAATCTAAGCATATTCTCACGGGCACTAGCTGACACAACAAATGCTAAAAAACCAAAATTTGGATTGCTGTAAAAAAACATAAATTCCGAGAAGTCCACTAATCACATGAAAGAGATGCGGGTAGAAGAATTCAATTTTGCAACTGATTTATTGGAAAATGCAATTAAATTTCCAGTGTCTATTGTTTGGAGTGGCGAAGCGAGAAAAGACTGCTCCGGGATATTTAACAGATACAATTCTTATCGCTGAAGCACAGAAAATCCTCATGATGTAGTGTATCACAATCAGCAAGGTCATTTTAGATTCAATGGATGGGTAATTTTCCGAAGTAGATTTGTGGGGCCTTATTTTTTTAATGAAAATCTGACAGCGGATGGTTATATAAATATTTTGCAAACATGCCTTGTTCCATTTTTGGAAGACTTACCATGCAAGCAGTATTTATTATCAGCAAGATAGTTGCTCGGTTCACAACGCACGGAAGTTAGGACAATGTTGGATTGGAAGTAGACGCCCCGTTCTTTGGCCTGCGAGATCGTGTGGTCTAACTCCTCTAGAATTTTTTATGGGGAAGATGAAAAGATCAAATAAAGCAGAGTTAGAGGAAGCCACTTGAAAAGCTTTTGTTTCCATCAATCCTATAGAGTTGGTGAATGGTTGGCATTGATTTTAATTTTAAATTAAATATTTCGTATTCTAATATTTATTGGGTTTTGTGTATTAGGTAAAAATAACTATAATTTTGTTTTCTAAGTAATCAAAAATATTAAAATCAAATATTAGAAATAATATCTCAAATTCAATTTAAAATATTAAATGGTTCTTAGGTTTCGTGTTTTTCACTTAAGTTATGTTAAATTGGTTTTAAGTTGCAGTGCAAAATATCCTCTACATATCAGCCTTTTTTCATCGCAGATGCCCACAAATCTATATGGCCGAAAAGGAATCGACACGTGCATTTTTTTAAATCATAACCAACTATGAATGCCATATTAAGTAACAAAGTTGTATTCAGTTGTAATAAAAGGGAGAACTGTAGAAAAAAATCTGACTAGGACTTAAAAAAATGCCCTAATAATGTTTTTATCCAAAGTAAAAAACGGTTGGTAGTGAAAAAAGCGCCATGCGATTTTAACCGTTAAATATTTCTCAAAAATCGAGCCCTTGACATGAAAGCCGATTTTGCTCTATTTAGTTCAAAAATAGGTTTTTCCTGTTATTTCACTGATGGGAGCGCGGCTTCCTTTTATCCAAGTTTCTATTCTCAGCTGCGCATTCCATTAAATTTTCTTTTTTTTTTCATTTATTACTGCGGAATGATTTTCAAATTTAGAAAAAATATGAAGCATGTCAGTAACCACCCGACCAATGTGACGAGAATTTTGATAATTTGGGATTATTCAATCTCACTAATTTGCAGCGTTCGTAAAATCTCGTTTAACCAGAAAGGCCTCTTTTTATCTCTATTACTGTTCAGTTTTAAGTTAGAATGACTTAATTCCGACAACATTTCTCATTTAAGCCCGAACTTGACAAGAACTCCATCCATGGTCATGCAATATTTTGCTTTCAAAAATTAAGTGTTGGAATATTTGTAGGTCCCGGAATTTACCAGCTAGAAGAAAACATGTCGATAATTTGCAACTTTGCGGAAAATCAACCAGTCGGTTCGATAGCTATGGTAGATCCGAACGGAATCATATGGCATGGTAATGCCGCACCAGGAAGCGATAGTTGCTTGCTGCTACCAGAACACTCATTTTATGGAAGTTTAACCCACGATCGCGGAAAAGGAAAACCGAAAGCAGGCTCTGATCAACGCTTCACGGACGAGCAAAAAAATGCCGGATCCTCAGAATCCAGTCCAGAAGAAGAAGTTTCGACTTTAACAAGGGCCGACTCGAAAATGGATTTCGAAGAATCGAGCTGGTATCAAACTTACGCAGATTTCAAAAATAAATATGAGCCGATCGTCATTAAAGTGAAAGAACAGGGCATCGAGTCGATAAGTAGCGAAGAACGGATATGGTATGATAAGTACAAGGCATTCGAGAAAAAATACACGACAATTATAAATGATTTCAAAGCGAAACGCGAAAGCGGAGCACAGTGTGCATCCAATTTGTTCGAGATGATTAACTCTCAGGAGAACCAAAGCGAGAAGATTTTCGTGCTGTACCCTCAAAAGGACGCAGATGGTTAACCGGTGTAGTCAAAAAATAGTTATACAAATTTGAAAAAAAGAAATTAAGTAAATCAGGCACGAGAAAATGCTGGTAATTATTTTTAGACTCCAACCAGCAGAGGGCGCAAAATCCATCTTGAATTTTAAAAATTTTCTTATATTAATGTTATTTTGAGTGACCGCTATTTCAAAGCTGAGACGAATTCAAATCTTTCTTGTTAGATTCTTTTTACTTTCTCTCTCTAAAAGGAAACTGGTGGAGGAGTCTTTCAACATTTCCGGAGAAAATGTGGATAACTCAAAAATGATTTAATGGATTTTCATAAAGTTGGAGTCATTAAAAAGGGTATTTCTTAGGCTGCCAAATATGCTATGGGTGAGACGATTGCAATTCTGTACCCTGCCATCAGATAGCGTTTTCTGACAATATCAAAAAAATATATTTTCGGAAAAAAAAGTAAATGCAATCATGCATCTCTATATCTGTATCCTACTTTAAATACAATTAAGAGAGTTTTTTAAAGAAACTCACAGTTTACTGTAATACTATTTTCAAATCTTCTAAGTTCCTCCTGCAACAGTTGTTGGTCAGTAAGTTGGCTTCTTTAGATATTAATTGAAACATTGCCTCAGATGACTGACTCTAAAATTCATCGTTACTGCCTAAAATTATTACTTTGGACCACACGATATTCTGGTTAGTTTATTTAATGAACTCCCTATTCGTGAAACTCAAAATCCAACAATTTGGAAACAAATTTTTCATCTTAATTCACAAATGATCGTCTGGAACGTATTTTTCTTATATCGGTCAAATTTTTTTGAACATATCTATGGAACAGATATGAGTGTTCTATTATTACCAATCATCTCGAATATATATTTATAAAACCCTTTGAGAAGAAAGCCATCAACACCTTCTATCGAAAACCTAAATTATGAAAACACTACAAAATACACTTCACACAACCTTGCAAAGCCAACGAATCCGAAAGCAATTCTATACTTTTCAACTGTTGTCTTCCCTTGCATTCAAAACATCACTGCTCACATATCACAAATTCTTAAGAAATATAACGTCAAAAAATTGATTTAACACTTGTCCAAATATCTTTCATCTTCAATACAGCAAGACGACATTCCGTTAGTGATACCAGGAGGTTAGAGCATTCCATGCATATGCAGTGAAGAAGAACATGAAAGAGACTTAAGACTACGACAAATAAACTCATCAGCAGTTGTCGAACACAATCACGAAAACGGACATCAAGTTTTATTCGATATAACATAAATTCTTGCACCTAATCAATTCTTCCACCAACGAGAATCTATAGAAATTTATAAGCAACCATACCTCAGGTGTGAGGTATCAGGCAAAAATGGTGACCAACATGAAAAGTTGAAAAGACTTTTTCTCTGACCCAACAGAGTGAAGTCGGATCACGTGGGGTACTTACTTGGTCCACAAATTGTCCAACAACAACAACAAAGAATGGCCTATATTAGACATCAAAGCAAATGAATGTTAGCTATGACTTGTATTGATTTATCGCTTAAGTTATAAAACGTTATGTTATAAAAAAAAACGACTTCTGAAGAAGAACGTAGAATCTTAATAAATTTGTTTTTGAAATGTAATAATCTTTTTTTTAAATATATTTTCTTTTGATTTAATGACACTTTAAAAACGTATTTGGATGTCAGAAATGAGGTATTTTTACCTAGATAAAAACAGGTCAACAAAACCTTTCCGTCTGAATTCTATATGTTAAATTTCAGTTTCATTTACACTTTAGTAAGGAAAACACATTTTTTCTTCTGTTCTTAAAAGTAGGCACCCATGTTATCTTTAAATTCGTCTAAATGAGATATCTAGCATATGAAGTTTATGAAACATTCTGCAGCTCATAGTAATAAAGCTTTGAAGCATATTTTTAATCAATTGCTTATAATTAACAGCTGTATGATTTCCGGGAAAGCCATCAATTACTGCTTCAAAACTCTTTCAGGCTTGTTTTTCACAGGCGCTAAGAAGTTTGGTGAAAGCCATGATTTTTCATTATTTGTTTTACTTGTGATCGAACGAAAATACTCCCTTTAACATTAGTTTCGGATAACTTTTTAAATTGTCTCAAATATTTAAAAGCTTCGGAATTTATTTAACATTATTAACTCTGTTAATAATAAACTGAATCTGCTTTGCTAGCCTATAAGCAAAGTTGACAGGGTTATTTAGTCTATCCACTTTGCATTTCCATCAGAAAACCCAGCATTTTAAAATCACCAAATCACTGGCCACTGGTATTCTGTGTATTCCAATTTTTCAACTATTATTTTCACGCCATCATAGCTTTTTTTCAATAATATAGAATGTGCTAGAGGAAAACTAGACTAGACTCTATTGTCAAGGAGAACTGCTTTTAAACTTTTTGAAAATCTGTCGATAAAAAGCCGCCAGTCACAATTCAGTCATGTTGTTACAGTAACCAATACCAGCTCCTTTTACGACGCTCTCTTTGATTAGTCATTTTTACGTCATCTTGAAGCATGTTCGATTGCTATAGTCGTGCACCTAGAATTTCCGCTTTACTCTTGGATAGGTTCAAGTCTCTGATTAAATCATTCAATTCACTTGAACTGATAAAATTTGACTCAAAACTTTGGGATTATATCATGACTTCACTAGCATCAATGTTGGTTAATGGTGTACTGGATTCTGTTGAACTTTTTGACGCTTGAACTTGAGAGCTATATGAACGTGATGGCACAGGAAAATTTACATCGTCAGAAGTCAAGTTTAAGGAGGGTTGAAAGGGATTTTTTTCCAATCTTTCCATCAGATCGACGCTTACTTGTATTAACCATAGCATCACCACCACAAACTACATACGTCGGTTTTCTCCTCTATACCAACATTGAAATAACATAATGTGATTTAAATTTTGTGGACATTTTTAAATTGTTAAATTTCAGTTTATGTGTGGTATCCAATTTTGATCCTGATTACTGATTTTTAGGTTTAGTCTTCATAGCCTACACAAACTTTCAAGCAAAGCAAATTTTGCATTTCTAATTTTAATTAATTCACCAAAAATAACACAAATGAATCAACATCATATTTAAAATGTCTTGATGCCATTTTCTAACTGAATAATACAGTTGTTATAGCTGAGATATACCAGTTACTATTAACTTTTAATTCTAATATTTTTACTTTTTTATAATTAATTGAAGTATACTTACTGATGTAAATCAGATAAAAGCGAACCACGTGAACTAAAAATGAAAATTTGAATGTCTAAAATTAGAATTTACGCATGAGAACAGAAACTAAAAAAAAATAAAAAATTTTTGTTGACCGGAATGGAGGGGAAAACAAATTAACAAAATTCTAATATAAAAATGTATTGTAAAATCTAAATACTTATCACCGATTTAATATATACAACTATGTACAGTTCAACAAAGGGGTTACAGTCCGTTTCAAAAAATGGCAGTGCCACGGTATACAAGCCATAGATATCGAATATCAAATACAGTGCTTTAGATATATAACTTTATGATTTAAAGTGTTAGTAAGGAACAGACTTTTTCATTTGAACACAATACTTTAGACAATTACCTACTTTACATTAATAATATTTAAAAAATATAACAACAACAAAATAATTTTAAGTACGTTACTAACTTACACTTCGCTCAAACATTATATGTACATTTTGATTCGTTTCCAATATAGCAGCACCAAAATTGAATAAAAAATAACAAATAAATATAGCACACTTTTTGAAAGTTTTATCACATTTTCAACAAGCACTAGTGAAGTAACATAATTTTTTCAAGGACTGCCAAAACAGCTATTTACTTTTCATTAACAGCTTATCGTTTTCTTCCTTCATCAGCAAGTTTCCCGACAATGTAGGGTCTTTGCTAACTCTCTTCCTTTTGAAAAATCCGCACTTATACAGGATCACTACAAGCACTATCAGCAGTAGAAGTCCTGCTATAACAGCTCCCACAATTATCCATATGTTGAGTTCTGAATAGGGCTGGACCGTCTCGGGATACATTAATGTTTCAGCCTATGACATACAAAATATAAATAACCAGAAGTTCATTATTTCTGAAGTAATGGGTTACCGAAAAATCGAATATTTGTTCAGGTTTGGTGATAAAAGTCGCGTCAGTCAATTCAACAACAGCATGGGAGTTGATTTGCACCCAGTCTACATTATTATAGTCTTCTACCAACGTCGAGTTCCAAATGCGCGACCTGATCTCAATGTACGCTTGATGCTGTTTCTTAAGTTTCCTGATGTAGCACACGATATTTGCGCACTTGGCAGTACGCGCTATGCAGTTCTGTTCAGAACGGAAATTAATAATTTTTTTTTCAAAGAACCTTCTACAGGCAACTGTAATACTATTTACAAAACTTTTGTCGCCTATGATGACACAGTGAAATTATTTTCGATCAATAAGGGGAATTTTATGCATTGATATACGCCAACATGTGCGTTCACAACGTGTATTAAAGAAAATAACTGGCAGAATAGTTTTTCTTCAAATCATTTTTGGGAAAGTCTCAATATAGAATATTGTAGTCTTGGATGTTGGTAGCCATGTGTTTCATACGAACAAAACTTATTTTTTACATGGTAATATGTGTTATCACGTTTATGCATATGGCTTTAGTTTGAGGTTATAAAATGCCCTACGATGGCATAATGATGGTTTTTAATAAACGAGGGAGTTAAAAAGTTTACCGAACATGTTCCATACTATACTTTTTCAACGACCGTTAGTTTTTGGGTGCATTTTCGCAAAACAACACTGCCACTGACATGACCGTCAGAATGGACAAACGTCAAAATTCAAAGCGTGGGAATCATGGGAAACGAAACTGACATGGTAAAGTGACGTTTCCGGCACACTAGATCGGTGGGTAATTAGGTATTTTAGAGACGGGAGTAAAAAAAAGTGTTTACTACTAAATGCCGTAAGCAGGGTGGGGCGCTTAGCAATGCCAAACGTGGAAAACATCTGACAGTGATATGCCCTATGAATGCATTTTGCCAAGAAAAAGTTAGCGACATTTTGCCAACTACACCAAAGCATCAAATTAAGTGCAAATAATACATTGGAGGTACCTTCTAGAAGGCTATGGCAGTCACAAACGCTTACTAGCACTGGAACCACCGAACAAAGTGGAATCTAATGTTTTACTTTCCTGCTCATTACACTCATCGAATTGAATTTGAATTTTTTGGACCGTACTATGACCAAGAAATTCAAAGATGGTTTAGACAAAATCCTAGCCTTTTTAAAACAAGCTACTCCGGCAAACACCATAAATGTCTCCTTCAAAACTCATCACTCATCACTAATCACAGACAAGGTTTTGAATAAACAACCTGAATAAAAATTAGCTGGAACTTATTTGACTGAAATTAGCGACCAAAAAGCTGGAAACGAAACGAATACTAAAGTAACGTAACGCCAGGGTCTTCTTCAATGGAGATAACACACTAATAATAATACCCAGAGAAAATAAGATAAACCGCAAAAGATGCAAATCTAGAGTGTTAAATACAACACCTCATATTTTCGGGTTCTTTCTTTCTTTCTTCTTTACTTCTAATGGCCACGACTGCATAAGGTCATTCGGCCAGCTTACACAATTTTTCACATTATTCAGATATCCTAAAGAATGCCTTCTTAAGAGAAGGGTCTGGACCAATCCATCATCCTCTAGGTTATTTAACGTATACAAAAATGGAAACAACTTCTAAATAAATTGTCATAAAATGACGACCGATTCTTCAAACGGCTCCAGCAATCATCTTATACGGGATATCCGATCCCATCCGGCCTGGTTACCAGCGTGAATATAGGACATTCGGAAACCGTATTTACATACACCTCATGGAATTACACATCACAAATCCGTGTACATCCACGTAAGACGAACACTATTTCCCAAACTTATAGGCACTACGTCTCTATCACGTCAGATAACGACTATACGTAACAATATTTTCTTTAAACGACACTAATTTCGACCGATTTCTATAAATATTTTGGAACCGGGCAGGAGCAACGTCCGCCATGTGCAATGGTTCCATCCATATTTTCGGGTTAAAATAAAAAGGAGATTAAAAAGCTGCAAAAGGAAGAAAAATTTTGACAAGAGAATCGTAGACGAAGAGGATGATGGGGAAGATAACCATGAAGAATTCTGCAATACTGCTAGTATGAAAGACGACGAAGAATATGACGCAGGATGTTTATATTGCTGGGAACTTTGCACACACTCTCGTAATAAGGAAATGTGGATTCAATGCCAAAAATGCAACGCATGGTGCCAAGGAGAATATGCTAGGGTGGATAGAAAGGAAAAGCACTTTACCTGCGAGCTTTCTTCGTAAAATTATATCATCGCATTGTACCTATCATATATTATTTAAATAGTAAATTTGTGTTCAAATAAATTGAAATTCTAAAATGAATGTGCCAAAGCATCAAAATTGTCACTGTGGAGCACATGATGTCACAGCGCAAGAAAAAACAATATATGAAAAATCTGTAAATTCAGAAAATCAGTTCAAATATTAATTTTTTCTAATGAATTATAACGTTACTTCTATGTTAAATATAAATTTACTGCCTCATCTGTGGTTCAATTAGGTAAGTCACTTTGAATTCAAATGAAGTATACCATCATAGGCGACTAGTTGAAAACTCACCAAAGCAGTAATTCTCCTCTTTATGCCGCCCTTGGTAATTTCTTGAGGTTGAACGACATATTCCACGTCCCTGCGACGCCTCCTCAAAGTGCTGGAGGTTTCGTTATCGTAGAATATTTCCTGAGGTAATAGTAAATTTTCAGGTTCGTCTGTAGGCGGGTTCAAAAGTGTTAAATTTAAAGGGTTTATCACAGACTCGTCTTCCACTTCGCATAACCCTGTCACTCCAAACCCTGTGGAAGAAAAATTTTGTGGATAAAAACAAATTTCTTTAACAACTCGACTCTAATTCCAAAACTAGGACTAGGGCTTGAGGAAAACATATTTATAACTAAAACGGCAAAAAGGAAAATCTAGAAATTATTTTTAAACTTCACATTTTCCCAGCAAATTTGTAATCATGCAACAATTCTCAGATAAAGTTATAAGTTTAATAACAGAGTTGCGAAATAGTTTGTGAGATCAAATAGCTTTCGGAATTATTTAAGAAATGCTTCATAATATTAGGGCAATATTTCGAGGTTGATTCGAATTTTATCTCAATCAGACTGAAAGAGAGAGCTGCATCAAGAAATATTTCAAAAAGATATCAAAATATCAATCATTTTTGCTATTCAAAACGAATGAATGAAGAAGTCGACAAGATTTTATCACTTGATGTAGCTGGAATACCTTCCGAAGCTTTCTTCAATAACTTATAAATCGTGTAGTTAATTGAACAACTCGGGAGGAACTCATTTTGCATTCCAGTGATCCCAATATTAAAGTAATGAAATCAGGACCTCAGAATTTGCCAGTCTTGCAAAATATGTTATTTGGGATATTAAACTTTGAAAATAATTGAAACTTAGAAACACACTAGATACTGCTGAAATTCTTTTTCTTTCTTTTCTTATTCTTTCTTATTTTTTATCTTTTTCAAAATTTGGTTAGCCAGAAATCTGTAAACATCTACATAGTGATCTGTGAGAAAGAAATAAATGAATAATATTGAAAAATCAAAAATCAACTTCTTCAAGTGAAGAATTCTCGTTGTCTTATTTTAAAATATTAATATAAATATATTATTAAAATTATAATTAATTAAAATTATTATTAAAATATAATTAAAATTGGTGCCCTATAAGTTCAAATAAAATTATTAGTCGTGTGTATCTCCATTCCATCTAAAATTATTGCAAAGAGAATACATTTATCTGAATAAAAAATACTGTTTTCCTAATCTTTTAATTTTGCGGCTCCTTATGGCGAAATGCGGAGTTTAAAAATAATTTCCAAACTTTGGGCATACCCATTTCGCCCACTATTTATGCTGAAGCCCGAAGTCCAGTAGTTGTCAAGATATGACCGACCTCGCCCATAGTATATGTGTGTATAAAGATTATACAGCGTGTTATTTTACTGGAACATATAATCAAATGGGTGAATATGGATGCCACCCTCATGCCGAAACGATATTTTGCTCGATAAATGATGAGTATTTTTGGCACACAATAAACTGGTCTCCACGAACAGAACGCACCTTCTAAATATCTGTAGTTGAATCTGACATAATTAGTGCTACCAAAAAGTGCCTCCACTCTTTAAAAAAAAACAATGAATTTTACTGTTCCAATCTGGGCTCCATTAATAACTAAATGTTTTGTGGAGGGGGTCCTATAAACCTAAAATTTGCAGCCAGTTCATAAAAAAAGGGAGATAGGTGTTAATTTCAAACCAGTATTAATTATTCCCATTTTTAGACGATATTTTATTAATGCAGTTAACAATCTAGAATGAACTGGAAGTTTATGTAGCTAGTATAAAGAAAACAAACGTTAAACTGCACATGGAGACTTGCGGGACCTTCTAAACAGCATAGAAGAGAAGAGCAGAGTAGATCAGGTAACAAGCAAGCAGAAAGGTATAAGAGGCTAACTAGAATATGATAGAAAACTTATAGACCATATTCAACATTACAGATATATAAAATGCACGCAAAACGAAAATTAGAAAAATACATAAGAGATTGGAACAAGCTTGGACCAGTGCCTTTGTCCAAATAAAGACGGTACTGCATAACCGTGATTTAAAAGTATCAATAAGTACTGAGAATAGCGCTGCTGACACAACACACTAAACAGAAGAACTTTTACATGTATCCTTTTTCGAAAATGGTGAATTCTCGGATGGTGTTGATAAAACAACCCAATGCCCTCGCGAACCCTGAAACGCGGATATTGCGTTAGACGTGACAACGTCTATCGCCTCCCTTGATCACGCTGCATAGACGTGACTGACCGCCCCGACGGCGCCTGTTTTCCAGACATGCGTTGCGCGCAGTTAGTCAGTCGACCGCGACCGCCCTTGACGATAGAAAAGTGAAAATCGCCCTATCGCTAAACCCCCCCTTTAAGCCCCTTTCACTCTTAATATTCCCTTATAAGTCGGTGTCCTCTTTGGACTAGCCCCTCAAATGGTTTCTTTCGAGGAAGTTTAATCTCTATTTTAACGCAAATTGTGTTTGTGATTAACTCAAATAAACCGATTGTTAAATGCCTTATCTTGTACCGTCGTCGCGTTGTGACAGAATATAGTTTGTGTTGTGTTAAACGGCTATCATTTAAAATAAACCAGCCCCGCAAGAATACAGTCCACACCCCCAACAAATCAACCCGTTAGATGGTGGTGAAGCAAGGATACGTTTCTCCCCCAGATGGGTTAGTGATTTTGTGAGCAAACAAGAAGCTGGTGAGTAATGGTGTGTTGCTATATCAAAAATTAATCAGGAAATGTTTTTATTGTTACTTTACAAAACAATAAATCCACTTATTAAACGCGGAGTTTAACTTATAGCTGTCATTATTTTATGCGAATGAAAGGTCAGTCAGTCATTTTATAAGACAGTTTTGGAGCAATGTTTCTGGAATACGAGGCAGCAAACCCAATAAGGACCATTTTTACCATACGTTTTCGACCATGAGATTTATTCATTAAATTATACACATACACAACTACACATATCATACCTGACACTGTTGGTATACCCTCCAAGTACAACAACCATTTCCCCTCGTCTCCTTCATTGGCAGCCCTAACCTGATAGGGCCACCTTATGTGCAACCTAATGTCGGGCAAGTCCCATTCTCCTCTATTATCGATCCCATAGTGGTGAGTGACGCGAGCACCAATGTCCTCCAAGTGTTTCATAGCGGATTCGCCAATGACTTGGCCGCCATAGAATAGATTCGTAGATCCTTTCCTAAAAGTTTGATTGGTGAAATTATGGCAGTGCCCTTGCAAAATATGGAGCCTACCCTGTGATCATAAAATCTGCAATCTTCTGTAATATGGCTACCACATTTTGAGAAGTGTAAGGCGAGCTCTCGGTGGATGTGGAGTTTACCAAAAGTCTCAGGTCCAGTTTCTGATCTTTGGTGTCTTTCATGATTTCGAATCGGAGTTTGAGGTTGGCAGTACTGTTTCCATGGAAAGGATTGCCCAAATCACAGACCACTAAGGTTTCGTTCTTGAATGAACATTTGGCGCTTGTCTAAAAAATGCTCATGGTAAAAACCAAATTCAGATTTGAAGAGATATTAAGTTGGCGAGTTTTTTTTTCTAGTAGAGGCATTTATTAAGCGAGTTATCAACTTACCGGCTGGTCTTTCTCAGTTTTTAAATTGATATAACTAAGCGCTGGAGGATGAAATACAAAAAGTTTAGCCTCATAGGCGGACTCGTTATAGTTAGTTATGTTCGCGTCAAGAACGAACTCCTCGTTGACCATATTTACTGTATATTCGCCATCAGCATTTTCTGAAATTTTACAATAAAATCTTGTTTAATACATATTTAAATGTTATTATCAATCAAAATTACAAATACAACTAACATGCTGTATGCGCCAGCCCAGTCGATATTCGTTAGCTTTTAAGGTATTAACGATTTAATCAATTACAAGATTTTAGCAAAAAGCAGATTTAGCATGCATGTAGATAATAAGTTATAAAATTTTGCTTATATTAAATTCAATAATGTCAACGTAGAATGTGTTTTGGCATATCTGACTCATGTAAAATTAATAAATATTAAAAAAATCCAGAGTACTAATAAAAAAGTGCCTGTGTTACTCTCGAACTTATTTTTTTTCTCGATGAACGTCTATGAACTGGTAGTCAATCTTTCCAAATTTTTGATTTGAAGATTCATTTGATATATTTGCATTTTCAAATTTTTTCTTAAGAAGAAAAAAAATGTTAGCACTTTAACACAGACAAAAAAATGAATAAAAAAGTTGGTGTTCTTTTTATAATGCTAACTACGGAGTGTACTCACACCTTAATAGAATTCGAACTGAGGTGGTTTTTACTTGATGAAAATCCATTTATCAAAATAAATAAGAACTAAAAGTTCAGATTTTCAGTAAATTATACATTTTTACATGACAATTGTTTCGATAACAGCGTGTCTTTATCAAATGTAATATTTGCAAACTACCTGCTACTATACATACTGAAAAATGACAATAAAACCTTAATTAATGTTGTTATGAGAATTTAAGTTTAATTTAATTCTTCTTCTGAAAAGTCTAATTTACTATACTTATATAGCGTACAATTTTTATTATTTGTTTTTTTATTATATTTCTGCTGAAAGTTTCTTCTTGTTTATTTGTATCTTACTTATTTATTACACATTTTTACTTGTGAATTTTTATTATTCCGAGAAGTCTAGTTTTACTGTATTATATCGAGTATAATCAATTAAAGCCTGATTCATTTGTCGGCAACTTTTGTTCGTTTAAAATCAATGAGATAAGAAGAAAGGTTCCTTAGATTGCTTATTGTTACTTCTTTTATTATTCTATTTTTGTTGGCAGTTTCATCTTATTTACTTACATGATATTTATTTATTACACATTTTTACTTATGAATTGGACGGCAAATAAATTAAACAAAAATCTACCAATACAAAACATCTAGAAATAAATAGTAATTTCTTTTTGCCAAAATGTCTAGTTTCACTATACTATATAGAGTGCAACAATCAAATAAAGGCTGATATATTTTTGCTGGTAGTTCCATGTTATTTACTTACTTTTAATACACCATATTTTTGCTCGTTTGAAATCAATGTGATAAAAATAAAAGTACCTTTATAATTAGATTGTTTATAGTTATTTGTTTTTTTGAAATATTTTTGCTAGTAGTTCCGTCTTGCTTACTCATTTGGTACATGTTTATTACATATTTTTACTTGCAAACTGGTTACTACGTCAATATTATATCACAAATGTATACTTACTTTCTAAATTGGTCCCAGCTTTCAGCACGAGATAACTGACGCAAACGTCATCCTCTCCGCAGTTCTTCTGGAACGTCGCCTCAAAGTCTTTGACGGAAGTTTTGTTCAAAATGGGCGTGTGATACTTGTTGTCGTTCTCCAGCGTGTACTTTACTTTGAACTTTATCGGAGACAGGATATCGCTAACTCCCTCCTTAATATACACCAGCTCGTTTTGGCAATACGCCTTGGAAAAACTGCTGACTTCTACGACACGCCGGTTATCGGGGGCCCTTTTGTTGGGATACTTTTCGTTTTGGAACCATACTCTCGATACGATTTTCTTAATTTCCGTGATATAATATTCGACGGAGAAGCGCTCGAACTTTTTCGCTTGGCCGGATATTTTGAAACACGACGTTATCGAGAAGCTGAAAGAATCCAAGTTAAATCGTCGTCCTGTAGCAAATACCAAACAAAAATTATCGCACCACTTCAAATTTAAAAAAAAAAATCTTTTTGCTTCGCTGTTTTTTTTTATGTAATAACTTATGTGCTGGAGAAATAGTAACAGTAATATCTTAGTATGCAACAAAAATAAAGCACACATACCAGATTGAAACAAAATTTTAGTTTATCAAAAATGCAGTTAAAATAAAAAACAAGAACATACAAATTAAACCACAGCACACTGTTTAATGTCGTGTAGCCCTTATTCCTGCTTCCATATGCTCTGGGAGTCCCTCAAAAGACCTGTGTCACTTCTTTCCCTAATTCAAAAAAGTATATTTTGAATATGTTATTATGCCAGATATGTTCGATCGGATTTACGTCGGGGCTTCTTGCTAGTCAGTTCCTGGTAGTAATGTTATTGTACGACCAGAAATATAGTGCATTTATTGCAGTACCTTAACCGTAGACCTTCGCAGATCCCAACAGATGTTTATTCTGCATTAAGTAGGCCTTGTCTGAGATGGACCGTAACGAATATTTGTATAAACTTGAAATTTTTATTTGAAACGTAAATAGCCCGTTTAAAATTTAATCAAGCATTGAATTGCGGGGTATTTACGACGAGCAAATAAAAAAACTGTCCATTTTTATAAGAAATTCAGAATTGGAAGTAGGAGCAGCAATAAAAACTAGTGACATAGAACGTAATAAATTGTTACTTGGAACTAAATTGTTTATGTACATGTACAAGATTGAAAACAAATCTCGCTTGTTAGTGTAGGTAGATAAATTTCTAGGACGGTCCTGTAATGGCTACGGCTAAGGATCTTATAGGCAGTGTGTTCTATAAGGGCTGCGATTTTGGAATAATAAACACTAGGCAAAGTTCATCACGGGGTCGGTTGTAAAATCACTACAATTCTGGTGCAAGTATAACTTCCTGCATCTATTTAGTAGCTCTTCTGGCTGCGTGAAAGTGTGCATGAAAATGAAATTGTCCCTTATATATCTCAGAGCCCAAAAAAGAATAGTGAGAATTATATACTGGATGGGTAGATATGAATGCTAAGTGAAATAACTCGAAAACTATTAGTCGTAGATATTCTCGGTGATAAATTTTATTATTAATACGCGGAAAATATTTTTATATTTTGAAGCGTAAAGGGCATCTTAAACTTAAAAAGTTATTTTTCATTCAAATCCTTCTAGTAAATGGAACAAAAAATATATATTTTGAAAAGCTATAGCTCTTTATTCGAGTAATTTTTGTTTAATACTTTCTGACATATCTGTCAAAATAAAGTGATGGGAGGTGATTTAATGTTTATTTACATAAACTGCCGCCACTCCAAACTCCTATCAAACCCATTTTAACTGTTATATGTTTAGTTCTTATTATTTTTTTTTGATATGATATAAAACTTCAAACGCAATAATACTTTTTCTCAATAAGGTTTTAGTGAAATGATGCTTCAAAAGATATCTTATTCATAACTTAAAATATCGCTGTAAGAAAATTTAGTAATTATCAAGTCGTTATTACACTGGTAATCATTCTTATCTATTTGTTTTTTTTTGATTGAATGATGTATCTTCATAATTTTATAATTTTTAAATAAATAAAAATATTTTTACTATTGAAAATTTTAAAAAAGGTGAAGAAGGAAAAGAGATCGGTTTTGAAATAACACTGGTGTTAAATGTTCGAATTGTCTTCCATCACACTCAATGCATTGATAAAGTCGCTCATGCGTGGACATTACAGCACCGTAATTATGGTTTTATAGTACGCAACTGCAATTCTTTTGCCGACATTGCTGCTTTGAAGGCGCTGTATTTTAGCTATGTTCGATCTAAACTTGAATACGCCTCCGTTGTGTGGAATCCGATTTACTCTTGTCATAATTGGGCGGTCGATGGTGTATAGAAAAAGTATCTGTTGTTCAAAACCGAAGGCGCGTATCCAACGAGAGGCATAAACTACGAATTTTACTAGGAAAAATTTAATATGAATAGCCTGGAATGTAGGCGGAAGTGTGTGTCAGTTATCTCTGTTTATAAATTGCTTCACAACATTATAGATAGTCCGAATCTACTAGAGTATTTAGATATTCGTATACCACGGCAGAATTCGCGCACCAAAGACATCTTTCACTGTGTTCGGGCAAGAACAAACATAAATATAGCATGTTCCAATTGTAATTGTGTTTCGGACGTGTGTGACATATTTAACTGTGGTCTGAGGGAATTGAGAAATATATGTTTGATGTCTAGTCGTTGCTAGCTCGAATCAAGATCTATGGTTATTCTAATTTCTTTGGAGCTCACTTTGTTGACCTGCTTGAACTACTCACTAGAATAAGTTAGGTTACATTATATTACATACGGTTTCTTTGTTTTTGTTACTATACATTGCTCTGAAAATGGATTGTTTTCTGTTGAACAATAAAGCTATTATTATTATTATTACGTTCAATTTCGGTTCATGACAGGCTACGAATGGCCTTTTGTATTGGTATTTTCATGTCGTCTCTCAATGTTAGTGGAACTTGGTAAACAATATCTTTTAAACGATTCCATAGATAGAAGTTCCAACAAGTCAGGTCTGGAGAACAGGGTGGCCAATGAAATAGACTTTCTCGTCCAATCCACCTCTGGTGATATCTTCGATCTAAATGTTGTGTGAATACCGGCTAGTTGCAAAAACATATAATGCAGTACCGCATTTTGAAAAAATTCAAAATTCAATTGAATTCAATTCAATATATACTCAATATATTGTTGCCAAGTTGACTTTAGGCATTTGTTTTTCTTCCATGGCCTATTCTTCATATTCTGCAGTTGCATATTATAATGTCTATTGAATATTGTACCTCCAGGAGTGTTTGTTTTTTTTTTAATTTTATGATATTTAAATTTTGTCTCATGGAGGCTAGAAATAAGATATCGAGATACGGTTTTCACTAGCCTATTTAAGTATCATTTCACTAAATTTTATTAGTATAGAAGTTTTGTTGATGGATAGGTCAAAAATAACTCGTATTTATGGCTTTTAATTTTTTTTTTTTAACATTGATTGAAAGAATTTTAGTTAAGTTTATTAACGTTTCCATCTCTACTTATAAAAAAATATAAATTTTAAAATTGCCTACGCACAGGCTGGTTAGGTTAGCATATAGCCCGAGTATAATAAACTTCCCCCTTCCCAGTAAGGTTAAAAAAATATTAAAATGTAGTGTCTTTAAAAGCGGACTTTAACATATTCTAATACAAATGCATATGTACTATAATTAATTAAATTTAACTAATATTTATTTATTTACTCGCTTTCTCCACTTATATCACACGCCAGAAAGACAGTTTTTACTACATAACACAATGATTAGAAACGTCAAGGGAATACAGGGTTACCTACTTCATAGACTACAGCCAAGCCTTTGTGTTAAGTGGTTAAAGATATGGCAATGTCGCCGGGATATATCTTTATGAAAATAATCCTGCAAGTTAATAATGAACTTACTGACTTCTTCAGTGTGCCAAAAGGTGTGTGTTAAATATAAAACATAATATCTTTTAGGTTTCGTTTCGCTTAAGCAATTTTCAATTGCCCTTATCTTTTTTAAAGTTCCAGTGTTCATTAAATTATTTTAAAAATTTCTATGTGACGTCTTTTTGAACATATAATGCCATGGTTACTAATAAATAAACAAATCTACGATGGTCTACGATGACTGAAAACTATGATCGGCATATAAAATAAGAAAGTTGTATTCATTTATGAGAAAAAACGGAGAACTGTAGAAAAAATGTGAGTACGCCACTTCATTTGCCTTAAAAAATGCTCTAATAATGCTTTAATCGGGATCCAAAAATTTCATAAATAAAAAAGTTATGAACAATTTTCAAAAGGGCCAAAAAAACCTGAAAAACGCCCCATATCTCGGTTGGTACGGAGGACTATCGCCATGTTGTTTCGAGATGTAAGTCAATTTGGCTTTATTTAATTCAGACATGGGAAATAGGAACCGCGCTGTTTCCTTATACAAATTGACGACGCTAGAGATGGTACTTTGCTGGCAAGTTTACCACGTATCTTTCACTTCAGCCCTCGTCAACACGAACAACTGCTCTAATGACCTCTTCAGCAGTTAAATTACGCTTAAGACTATTTGGAACTCTCATAACTCTACAATTTCTAAATTTATTTAAATTGCAGACACTTGTTCTGATATATTGAATTGAAATGTAAATAGAAAAAAAATACAATAAACAAATCGGTTCATTTTATTCCTTCTAGACATATTATTGTTTATCTAATAAAAAACAATTTCTGTCATGGATACGAATTTTTTAAGCGTTGTGATAATTTTTGTAGGGTGTACATACCATGTGTTATTCAGGTTGCCGGGGTCCCTCGAACATCCCTTTCTAGACGCGTTGATGTTCTTCATTTCGTTGCCGGAAATGTCTATTTTGATGTCGATGATCGGCCTCGTCTTGAAGAGCAGGGCTCTGTCGGAATCGTAGGCGCCGACTAGCAGATCCGGGTAGCCATTGTTGTCCATATCCAAGCCGCCGCTCAACGAGTATCCGAAAGTTGTAAGTTGTTCGAACCGCATCACCTGATATAGAAAGATAATGCGTACTATAATAGTCGTAATAGTATATGTTTTTAATTTTCAAAAACAACTTTAAATTTGTTGCAAATAAAATGAAATAACGTCTCCCAAAACAACACAGTATTTATACCAGCGGATGAAGCAAAGGCAATAATAGCCAAAAAGTATGTGAAACCATATCACTGAGTTATATGAATCACAAATGAAAGTAGTAATTACGGATTCTTCACTCTTTTATGACAAACAAAAATGTCTACTAACAATTATGCATTCCCTACCTCCAAAACTATAATAATAAACCCAATGATGAAATAAAAATCAAATTAATCAATGAATCAAAATTAAAATTATCATATTCTAAAATCATAAGTTTACGCTGTCACATATTGCCGAAAGTAACTAATGAAGTTAATAAATGTATAATAAAATAGTCTGTACAATAAAAAGTCTACTCTCGATAATACAGAATTTTAGAACAAACAAGTATTACTTTAAATTTGACATTAAAAACAAACAAATGACTTATGATTTCCTACAATCTGTTATTACAGGGTGTTTTCTAATTGAATTTTTGGGTTGATTTTAAAAAGACAACCTCATATGAACAGGTGTCCTAAACATCATAACTTTTGAGATGCATGTGTAATGTTTTCAAAAATATAATATATACTATATATACTGCTCATATATGTGCTTGTCTAATAATTCCTTTACTTTTTTTAAATCTTCATGCAGTTACATTTTCTAAGTTTTTAGATATTTTTTAAAAGCACCTAACGATGTTAACATTATGAATCTCTCCTTTAGATCTTCATATAAGAAGTTATAAAAATGGGTCCATAAAAATGTATGAGATCTTTGAGCAATTTGTTTCTTACACCTCTTTGTTATTAAATTTCTCTTTTCTCTATTTATTGTATTCTATGAATGATGCATATTGTTGTTTTCCATTGAGTCGTGAACTGTGCGAAGTAAAAGAAGGTATTGTCTTTTCTGTAGACTTACCTTAGCTGAATGTGATTTATATTTAATATTTCGTATTTCTCTAGGAATTATAATTTTTCTTTAAGCACCTCTGCAAAACAAAAATAGTGGTTTTACAATAGAGACTTTAAATTATACAGGACAGCTTCCTGTTGGAAAAATGTTGTTTATTAAATAAGATAACAGTATATGCTCGTCAGGCATGTATTTTCTTTTGCAACAGCACCATAAAATATAAACAACATCAATAAAAAATTTAGAATCTCATACTGCTTTCGAACATTGAAAATCAAAATCTATTTCCTATCGATTGAATAAACATAATAGACAATATTCTTATAATAAACTAAGATTTAATAATAATACTTACAGATAATTCTTTAAACTTTCTGATCTTAACTATGATTAAATCACCAACCAAATAAGATTTTTCCATTTACCTTGAATATACGGATACAGGTAATGCGTAATAACTGAAATTATCCTTACACACAAAATGGCTGCCTTTCATCCTTTTATTTGCAGATTGTTGAACATACCACTTTCTACAAGTTTCCAAAAAGAACTAGATATAAAACAAATAAATTTTAACAATGATTATGATCCCTCTTTGATAAATAAGATTATAACCAATAAACATTTTGAAATATTTTTTTTTACCCCACCTTAAACATCGGTACCAAAGTTTTTGAGACAATAAAATACGTAAGCGAACCAACCAAGTAAGTTTTGGAATATATCTTTAAATTTGGTCTCAAAATTGCTTTTAAAACTAGAAAGACCAAAGAAAAATAAAACTTCACAAAACACTAAAAAAAATCGTAGTCTACGGGTTAAAATGTCCTAAAAATGTAATAGATAATGAAAGGCATCAACCAAGATAAAACAGGGATTGCAATTGTGACATTCATTTAAATTTAAAAATTTTGATAATAATTGATATTTTACAGACAACATCAAAAAGCCACATGCTAAACGTATTGAAAGGTATTGAGATTAACAAACTAGATATTCGAATATACCACTTAATGATCTACTGAATTTGAACGCTACAATAACTGTAATTAAGAATTCATTACCACCCTATTACATTTATAAATTATAATATCCTGTATCAGAGAAAGTACGCTGTTGCTCTCAGCTGTTGTAAACCAATCAATTATCTATTATAAGTATCAATTTAGAAGTTATTAGATGTTACAATTTACAGATAAAAAAGCTTACTAAAAGTCCCATCTGTTATATTTTGTAATAACAATCAAGGGAAAGGTCACAATCCGTGTAAATTAGGGCATATATTTTTATTTCTTTAAATTAGATAAAAATAAAGATAGCTTTATTTCCATAAGACTTGATTTACAAATGTTGGATATTGTCAGCATAATGTAAAAGTATAAAATTATCTTAGTATTATTATTATTATTAGATAATTACTGACATTTAAGTAGTCTTAAATAGGCTATGTATGCTGTTTGCTGAATCCATCTGTTTATTTTTGATTTAAGGTAAGAGACTATAGGTAAGATAGTCTACTACGATGAAGTTTTCGTTACATTAGAGTGTGATAACTCGATTTTCACTCACATTTTCATTTTTTTTTTGACAAAAATATTCTTTATGCGATAAATATTACTGATTGTTTACAAGTGTTCAATTTGAAGTGTAAAGCATGTTGAAGTGAATACGTTACATACTAGGCATACCTGAGACGGTTCTTCGTTTAATCCGCTCGCGGACCCTAAGTAGATGTAGACGGCGCCATGTTGGTTTTCGTATGGAGCTCCAATAGCGATGTCATTGTAACCGTCTTTGTTGATGTCCCCAATGGAGGTCATGGCGAAGCCGAACCGCGACTGCTCCTTCCCGTACATAACCTTGTCCCACTTGCAATCAGCGTCCGAATTGCATCCCCGCAGATTGTAGTAAATATATACGGCACCCCCTTCACCTTCTCCGTAATAAAATGGAGCGCCTACCAGCAACTCGTCGTACCTTATATTAATAATAAAGAATTTCATTTATGGAGTTGAAATATTAAATAAAAAACAAAAAATACGATAAAACAATAGAAAAATGGCATACAAAAAAACAAGACCAAAGAAAATCTAGTTTAAACATATAGCGTCAAAATGTCAAATGTCAATTATGCAATCATAACCACACTTTTCAGTTGCTTATTTACTTATTCTAAAAAGAAGTGCGCTTTATCTAGACAAATGTTATAGTTAAATGAAAAAAATTATTCTATAAAACCTCAAGAGTAAACTCTATATAACCATATAAAAAAATCTGAAGTAAAAAACACCAAAAGTTTTATAGATCAAGTAATGGCTAGGCCGTCCTAGGAATTTATCTACCTACACTAACAAGCAGGATATAAGTATGATTTCAACATTTTTCGCCGAGCAATTCTTGAAACATGTACATAAAAAAATTAGTACAAGGTAATCATTTATCACGTTCTACATAATATTATTGATTACATTTCTACATAATATTATTAATATACAAAGTATTAAATATAATAATAATAAAATATCAGTAACTTAAAAAATCGTCACTATCGCTACTGTCGTCATCTAGTTCAACGATTAACTGCGCCACTAATCGTTCTCGATAAATATTTTCTTCTTTAATTACTCGTTTTTCACAGTTACATCAGCTTTGTACTGATATTTTAGCTACCTTTTGCCGAATTACATTTATGGTGCTATTGCTAAATTTTGAAGCAGTGTGATTTCTTCTTATATGCGCTTTCATCTCAGACAAAATCATCTCAATCGGGTTAAATATACAATGGTACGGGGTAATCCCAAGATTTCATGTCCGTTTTGTTGTGCTACCGAAACGCGAATATAATCTATAGTCTTAAAAAATACTGTTTTTTACAAATCGAAAAACTACGTAAAAGACACAAAAATACAAGAAGAAAAATGTTGTTAATCGACAACCACACAAGGACAAAAATGATTATTTTCAATCTTGCCTGTAAGATAAATACTGGAAAGATCACATTCAAATACTTTCGTAATATATACAAACAAATTGCAGTTTAGATTAAACCTTTGAGAACACTACATATCACCTGATGTTAAAATAATCGTTTCTACTTATTCGTCGCAGCATCAATGCTTAATCAAATTTAAAGCTGTCCATTTACGTTTCAAATAAAAAGTTCAAGATTCTACAAATATTCGTTACGGTCCATCTCAGGGAAGACCTACTTAATGCAGAATAAACATCTGTTGGGGTGGATTTTACCATGGTCCTAGGAAGGTCTGTGGTTAAGGTACAGTAAAATAATTAAAACGTCAAAGCAATAAATGCACTATCATTTTGGTTGTACAATATCAACATCTATTTTTTGAACCATAATTTAAATTTTCTCTTTACTGCAAAAAATTGCCAAGACAAAAGTGTGATTGACTTGTACTAACATACGGGGTCTTAACTGAACGTTCAACAATTCTAAAAATACAGACTAAAACACACAAATCTATTGCCTTTTTTAACAACCCACCAAATAACTACAGTAAGTGGGTGAGTGGACAGCTCAAGGTGAAGGGCCGAAAATTCTGGTTGATGAGGTGAGAGCCATCTTGCAAATAAAGCCACGAAGGGCAGCTGGTTTGGACCAAATACAGACTGAATTCATAAAACTACTGAATGAGGATAAAACAAAATGGTTAACTAGAATATTTAACATCTACTCGACAGGGGAAATTCCAGCAGACTGGTTGAAGTCACAATTCCCACTCCCCAAAAAAACAAGTGAGAGAGTCCAAAATGACATGATCGACATACTAAAGAAGATAGGAATAAATCCTAAAGATTTAAACATAATCATAAATTTGTATTGGAACGAGACGGCAGTTTTAATAGTTGACGGCGGGCACGTAGAATAAATGAAAATATTGCGAGGGGTAAGGCATTGATGTATTCTATCCCCTATCTTATTTAACGTGTATACATCTGTAGAAAGGCACTTGACAGTATTCAAGAAGTAATAACCATAAATGGTGCTAAGGTACGCAGAAGACACTATAATGTTTGCAGATATTCTTCAAAGGCTACACCACCAAGAGACTGGAAGCATTCGAACTATGGCTGTACAGGACAGTATTGAAAATATCTTGGACACAAAAAATTACCAACATAGAAGTATTGCGACCTATGAATAAAGGAACAGAACTACTTTATACCGTAAAATGTCGGAAACTTCAGTCACAGGTCGCATAATGAGGAGTCCAGATAGATACGGGTTATTACAACAAATCCTTCAAGGCAAAATTAACAAGAGAGCACCGGGTTGAAGGAGAATATCTTGATTAGCAAACCTTAAAACGTGGTTTAACCAATCATCAGCAGAAGTTTTAAGAATCGCCATCAACAAAGTAAAAATAGTCATGCTGATCGCCAACATCCGGAACGGATAGGCATTTGGAAAAGAAGAAGTGGGTGGTCAATAATATGTAGGTCCTCCAGGTCCACGTATTTCGCTTTTCAAATGGCACTTTCTAAAATTCTTGCGTAAGCTTACCATGTTCTAGTTTTGCGATCTCGAAATTTTAGGTTTTATTTACTAACTATTTTTAGTTCCGTATCTAGGCAATGCAATTTGAGGGATCATAACGAGGTAATAGCAAACACTTACCCGTCATTGTTAACGTCGACAGCAAGAATTTCGTATCCAAAACTGGAGGCGAACTGCTGTCCCGTTACAATCAGAGAAATGTTAAACTCTTCGCTGTTAGAATACCCTTGGTTCTTATCAAAGAAGTAGACTTGGCCCACCATCTGAGATCGTGGTGCTCCAGACGCATAAGTATATCTCTTTTTACTGAAAAAATGCCCACCAGCCACGCTCATTCCTAAAAATATAGCACGTATTAACAGTCCAAGATATGCTGTAGATCAAGAATGTCACCTAGATAGCTATATTTGTCGATTGGAGTGGGGTTGTCGTTCAATGGACCTCTGTAAATAGTCTTGTCTCTATCGAGGAAGTCGCCGACGACTACTTGCCCGAAAATTGTGCCCCTCCACGTATAAGGACCAGGTGCACCTACCAGAGCAAAATCGTCTCCGACAAATGCCGAGCTGGTGCCTATTTGGCAGAAGCCGTATTGCTGATGAAGTCTAAATAAAAGAAAAAAAAACTTTGTTTTTGAGAACTTATTTTAAAAAATTCTGTGATATATTTGCTAGTTATTTTGAAAGTGTCCTTGAAACACTATTTTTCAAATGGGAAAATTCATATGAAAGTAATTGAAGATAAAATTAAATCACTTGATACCACTATCTGTGATGATTTTTTGAGGGCCATGCAATTTGTGTTGGCTGCATTTTTGAAGTTTAAGCGTGCATTTAAAACAATAGACCTAGACCGTTGAGAAAATTGCCAGAAATGGATATTAAGGGAACAGCTTATAAATGGCTTTGTTCGTATTTAACATAAAGGGTACAAAAAACTAAATATATAGATTATATATGAAACATGGTGTTACTCAAGGGACAGTTTTGGGATCTTTGTTGTTTCTTATATATAGTGTTGGGACTAGTGAATCGACCATTTCTTGATTGACTAGTCAAAAAAAGTGTTAAATAACCTCTTGCAGTTGTAATAAAATATGTATTTTATAATAAATTATTAACGACGTGACGGCGACGAAAAGCAAAATATAAATAAATAAATATAAATTTTTTGGTAATTGACTGGTCAATCACACAACCCTACTTGTATATAAAACGATATTGTAAATATTTTAGATGATAATAAAACTTTATTATTTGCGGATAACTCAGTGATTTTTATTGTGGGTGAGAATGTGGATGAAATGCAAAAATGAATGCAGATCTGAAGAATACTTTTGAATAGCAGTGCTATTTCAACCTTCGTATAAACACGGCCAAGTCAAAATTTCGAATTTTTGGTAAACGACATAAATTAAATAAATTAAATTTTCATGTAAACAAGTATATAAACAAAAAAAAATTAATTCATGAGTACGAAATTAAATATTTGGGTGTTATATTGGACTGAAATTTGATGTTTTATACATATGCCCATTACATAATGCATAAATTTTCTAAAAATAATTTGTCAATTAACACCAAAATCATATTGCATAACAACCTAGCTGCACCCTGTTTAGAAGTTTGTTCCACACTTTTGTTCGATTTGCTAAATTATAAATTACGGAATTGCAGATTGTTCAAAATAGGGCCGTTAGAAATTATACTACAATGTAACAGATATACGCCAATGCAAAGCATATTGCGTATACTTAATTTCTTGTCTGTAAAACAAAAAGTAATGTTCAATGTCTATGTATTTATTTTTAAAATTAAACAGTGTGTTCCTGATTATATGTGTGAAAAACTTACGTATTTCAGAGATATTTATTCTTACAATACAACAAATTGTGGTAATTTTATGCTGAGAGAATGTACGAAACTACATTTTACATAAGGGCCGTTTTAACAATTTTAACAATTTACTCAATAAATTTAAAAGACTTATTGTCCGAATTTTGTGCTAAATAATGATATATTACATTAAAAGGTCTTTTGTCTATAAACTCATTAATAACGATTAAAGTGGTAGAACTCAATGTGCCGCTATTAATAATAAAGTCTTTTAAATGTAGTTTTATGGTGAACATCGTTAGCGCTCAAACAGCTCAAACAGCCAATTTGAATAGATTAAATGCATACCGTCACAATCATTAATGGTTTGTAAACAACGAAAAATGGTGGATACACAGAGACTTGGCTATCACCTTAGGTGTTAACTTAACATTTGAAACATAGATTCATATTAAGAGTTACGCAAGGTTTTAATGCTTTAAATCTCTTTGGTTCCGTCTTTCTTCTTCTTCTATAAAATTATATACATTTCTAAGGAAAACTAAATAAATAAATAAATAGTAAGCAATGAATTCTACATTACAAAAGAAAAGTGTTCAAAATTCCGAACACACAGTTGCACACAGAGTATTCATTACTTTATACCTGCTGGATTGTATTGGCTGGATTTAGAAAAAAAAATGTTGTTTAAGTTAAACCAAAAGAAACGATCGATTATTAATTAGTCTGGTGAACTAGCGTTCTATCTTGCTAGTCCAAGTTTTCGAAGAAAACGATAGTAAAAATGTTCAAATAGAAATGTGCCTATTTGTGCATTGTCGGCGAAAGCGCCGTACTGTTGAAAAATTTAGGCTCCTTTCTGCATCTCCAGCATGCAATTGTTGCACTATATTTACTTTATTAGGTTTATTTTGTGAATTTCTTTTCCGTCTGACTGACTGACACTTAGTAATAAAACAAAAGCATTGTCCTCGCCATTGTGTTTATTATCCGTTTTAGCCTTTTGCTTTGAAAATCAAATTCAATAACTAAATTTAGTTCAAGAAATAGTCCCTAACTCTAAATGGGATTATTTTTTTTTCTTAAACTCAAGGCGCTTGTAATTTTTTTTATTTGACTAAATGGTTATATGTTTGTTTTATTTTGTTTATTTATTTATTTTAAGAGCAAACAGTCGAATAAAGCTCACCAAGGTCATCTTTAGAAACTGATAAATTTTATTAACGTTGGTGAGACTGATTAATAAAACTATTTTATAACCGTTTTGAAATGATTTCAAATCAAATAGATGCAGCATCATCATCCACTGCTAAGTTAAAATCAATCATCACAGATTTAGAACATCAAAATGTAAAATTCTAGTTCTTCTGAAAACCAACCAGAGCTGTCGATTCAAATGACAGAGAAGATACCACAATGGGCCACTTCGTGTAATATTAGTCATTTTGAAAAGCAATTTTCCGTTGCATCGTAATTTTTTGCAAGTGTGAAAACTATTAATTTTTTGGAAAAGTTAAAATATTGGAAAAACTGATTTTGTATGTATTATTATTAATAAAAAAGTTGAAGAATTTAAGGACTTTAAAATAAAATTTGAAAATGGGGTGGTAAATTAAAAAAAAATGTATGTCTTATTGTTTTTTGACTCAAACTGTACAAGTTATTTTTATAGCAACTTTATTTTAATTATTGAAAAACTTTTAATATTTTTTTAAATTGCAGCAAGATGAGCATTATTTGATATGTCCAATTTATTATTGGAATCAATAAACATTTAAATTCAACGGAACCTCAACCTCAAGCCTAATGAAGAATGTATAATAAGATTGCTTGATGCCTACCTGTAAAAATATAAATTGGATGTAGCAAACTAGCATAACTTATGATTATTTTCAAGAATAAAAATATATATTCTTTTAATTTTTCTAAGGGTTAAGCAAAAGCAAAAATAGTATATTCACTGCACTGTTGTGTTTTACAGAGTATCCGAAATATGATCGTTAGTTTTGGTTAGTTAGATCGCATAATTTCTATTTTACCCAGAATCCAGAGAACGAAACAAGGTGACATAATTCGCGAAAAAGTGACACAGGTGGCGGAAAGCGCAAAATTCTATCTCTGCGGATTACAGGAAAATCTTTGATTACAAGCAGTTAGGGGACACAGTATATATACAAAAATTTTCTGGGACTCTTAAATAATTTAAGAAATTCAAATAAGTACCATAAAATTTTTCCTTCTGTTAAGGAAAAAGACAATTGTTGTAGATATTTTCATATTACACATTTCTTATACGACTTTAGCAGCAGTTAGTAGTGCAGAATCATTACCCATTTAATTGACACTCGAAAATTTCCTGCGAATTCAATTAACGGCAGCGATGAATACCGCGATGAAGTAGAGAACAAACACAAACAAGAATTAATTTTGCCCTTTGTCCTTCGAGTACTCTGATACCGGTTCGCATTAAAGGCGATGACGCACAAAATCGGTTTCGAGAGCTCTCCAAAACTTACCCGCGAACAAAAGGAGCGACGCTTAAATACTTACTTCTCCGTAGGTCTACCCTTGCAATATTGTAAGCTCTCCGTGGCCTTGAGGTCGCTATCCAGCAAATAGCAGAACCCTTGACCGAAGTGAAATTTGCTCAGGTCCGGACTTTGGATGTAGCGATGAGCGCAGACGATCACCAAACCGCCAGGCTTCTGAGATCGCACGGACACGCCCAACCACTGACCTGTTTTGATTTCGTCCGCACCTGGAGGCTTTAAGCCGTCATTTTCGTTGTCGTTGTCACCATAATCGAAATCTTCGACTGTGCATTAAGTTGGAAAAAGTGGTCAATATTGTGTGGGAATGTGTTAAGTTTTTGCGTAAAAAAATGTTGAACAATAACTCAAAACGAATATTTCATAACTTTGCGTCTGCAATAGTAGTTATTTTAACGACTTTAGTAACTTTGTAATTTAATTTGTGAATGAGATTCGTGAATTTGGTTAGTATTATTAAACTGGCAATAATTTTTTTAATATTTGTAGTACCACTTTAGATATTTTAATGAAATTTGGCATACCTGAACTATGTATCAAGAGCCATTATTTAGTTTTGGTTAATTAGTACGGAATTTCGCCTGTCTATTTTGGCAAACATTCACGGTACGCCACTCATTTCACTAAAATAAACACTATTCTTATAATCATTTACAATCATTTCTATAGAAATTTAATTTCTTGATATTTTTTCAAGCTTACAGCATACAGAGAATTATAATAATTAGTATTACTTACTTAAGTAATTGTCCACCTGTTTCATTAAAATACTTTAAAAATTGAAGTACGAATATGAAATACGTAAACTTAAATAAATATAAGTAAAAATTCTAATTCTAATTCTAATATTTTTCTTTCTGAAAGACACTAGACACAAAAAAAAGTTCTCGATTTAACCAGTGCAGTGGCGGCCTGATTAACGAAAATATTATTTCTTCATAGACAGCTATTCGCACTCCACTGATTTCCTTTAAAAAAAAAATGACGTTTGCATTCATTTAGAGGCAGATCTGATCTATTAGTTTTTTTTAGTCGTTTACTTAAAAATAAAAACTAATTTCTCTGTTGTTGTTGTAACCAAGAAGAGAAGAGTTTTTTATTTTTTTTTTAAAGCGAAAACCGTACATAGGTTTGAAAAAAATCAAGAAATTAAATTTCTTCACAAATTTTTTACAACAATTTTTACTTTACGAGAAATGTCTGCCACAATAGGTAGGTGAAATTCTGTACGTCAGCCACTGATGTATTTTTAAAAGATTGTGGTACACTAAATAATGCTTCTTCATGTCTGCCAAATTTTATTAAAATATTTAAAGTGGTATTACAGATATTAAATAAATAGGTATACTTTGTTTTTTAATACTTTACCACCCGGTATCTCAAAAATTAAGACATTTAGGACATTTTTCTTTAGGAAGTTTTTTTTTTTTAAAGTGGACCCAAAAATCGCCCCCCTAATTATCGACATTCAATTAAAAAAGGCCCCTAAATCAGTGACTTAGCACAAATATACGAACAATGGAAATATAGTCAAAATAAATAAGAACTAAAAGTTTAGATTTTCACCAAATTATTATTATTATGACAATTGTTTCGACAACACCGTGTCTTTATAAAATGTAATATTTACAAAGTACCTGCTACTATATATATCAAAAATTACCATAAAACCTTAATTAATGTTATTGTGAGAATTTAAGTTCAATAAAGGAGAGGCATTTAAATCTAATTGATGGTTAACCAATATATTTGAAGGTCTCATTTTGTTAATCTCCATGGCTTCCAATAAATTTAATTTTGTCAAGATCCATATTTCAACCTGTAGACACCTGATTTTTGGGATTTTTGACATTTCGTTTTATTTTCCTATTGTGTTGTTAGTTCTGAAAGCTATTTTTAAACCACATTTTGACAAATGTTTTGAAACTTTTTTCCTAGGTTCTCCTATGTATGTAATTGTTTTAAATTGTTCGTGTTCTGTATTAGGTTTCGGATAAATAGAGTTTACTGTTGTCTGTGTTTGTTTTTTATTTATAATTTTATATATAATGGACGGATTGTAGCCGTTGTTCAGTGCAATCTGTTTAATGATATTAAGTTCTTTGTTGTAATTTTCTGTTGAGAGTGGTGTATTAAGAAGTCTGTGTATAAAAGAGTTAAATGCAGCCATTTTGTGTGTATAAGGGTGATTTGAGCTGTTATGTATGACTGTGTCCGTGTGTGAAGGTTTATTATATTTTGAAAAATCTAATTTGCTTTGGGTTAAGTCTAAAAAATTAATAGAGTTATCCAGTTCAATCTCGATAGTGAATTTTATACGATTATGTAATGAATTAATGTAATTTAAAAAAGAATTCAATTGTCTGTCCGTTCCAACAAAGCAAGCAAGGACATCATCCACGTATCTATAACACCATAAAAAACATTTACTTAAAGGATGATATTTTCCAAATTATCCATAAAAATCTCGGCTAACAAAGGCCTAAGTGGGTTTCTCATAATCAAAAATTCTTTAGAGATATAAATCTGTCCATTAAATTCAAAATAATTTTCGTTTAAAGATACTATTAAGCAATCTAATAATTCTTGTTTCACCAATGGGTTAACTTGTTTCCAAGTTAGTGTGAAATCTACTAAATCTGTCACATCCATATGTGGAATACTGGGAAATAAGTTTTGTACATCAAAAGACAATAGTGTTGCGTTAGAAGGGATTTTGATATCTTTAATTTTGCTGATTAAATCAAAAGAATTTTTTATTGCAAATTTTGCTTTAAAATCTATGTGGAACTTTAAAATATTTACTAATTTTGTAGAGAGTTTAACTGCTGGAGCTGTTACATAAGACACGACTGGTCTAATGGGCATATCGTGTTTATGTAATTTAAGTAAAGAATATAATTTCGGCGGATGTGGATTCATAATTGTTAAAAAATATTTGTCTTTTTCACTAAGTAGTGTGGAGTTAGTAATTACATCCTTAACTTGTCTTTGATATAACTCGGTAGGATCGTGTTTGATACATTGGAAAAGTTCTGGTTTAAGAAAATTTTTGGTTTTTGAAATATATTCTGGGAGATCGATAGTTATGACTGTCTTCCCTTTATCTGCACGTGTAAATAGGTTATTTTCAGAAGCTGTGTTTAAATATTTGAACGGCGGCAATGATCTCTATCTCTAATAAATTCCGAAACTCCTAATTCATAATTATCCTTACAGATAATATAATAATATCTAGAAATTACTTACTCGCGATTGTATGATATCTGCGAACAAATGTTTTATTTGAACAAATGTAACTAAACGTTTTTTTTAATCACCCCCTTTGGTTATTGTTCAACATTGTTTTAAATGTTAGTAAGGTGCGAAATCGGAATTAATTGTTTACTTTCAAGCATAATCTTCGAATTTGTTGCTTACTAGTCATTGCAACTACATTAGAACGTCGAAGAAAATAATAAAGTAAACAATTTGTGTTAAAAATCAAATAGAAAGTCGCAGCAAATCAAATAAACTACAAAATATTGTGCTGAGCTAAGAGTTTAAAAAATTCACGTGCACAATCTCCAATCTCGTCGAAAATTGAAGAAATGCCATTTTCTAAACTCCCTATTGCTGATATTTTTTGTTTTGCTTATGTACAGAATGCTTTCTATTTACATCCTAAAATTTGCGTTTACGTGAAAATGCATCATTATAACGCTTGGACAAAACATAAGCCTACTCGAGCTAATAGGATGATTAAACAATGCAAAAAACGAAAACGAGGTTTGTTTAATAATTATACGCTTCAGATTCACATTTTCCATTAACGAAATCAAGGTCAGTGAGTCATTTTTCAAACATCACACAGTGAAAACCATTCTGTTTTTTGTGGTCTCTTCGATTGTGTATTATGTTTATTGTTAAAGTTAATGAGTTAAAAAATGTTAAAACGGTCGAATTAATCATAATCAAAAAGCTGGAAGACCCAATCTACTGCATTATTTAGCGATAACTGTTTTAGTTTTCACGATCAGTATTTTTTATTAATATTTATTACTTAAACCCAACAATTTGAGAGAGACGTTCGGGGATGGTGGAGCATTTTTGTTAGCTTATTTATCCTAAACTATGTACATAGTAATTTTTGGGTAATTTTGTGGGGAGGGGGTATTTCCGTTATTTTTGTAGAAAAAATATTGCTCTTTTTTTATGGCAATAAGGCAATTTTCAGGCATCCCTCGTATCTCAACTATCCGATAATTTATCGAAATTGTGAAAACCGTTTCGTATATAACTATTCCAGCTTCAGAATTAATATACCGGATCAGGTCGACAAGTTGTTGGGTTTTACTTTTTTTTTAATCGAACACCCTATATATAGATAATATAATTTGACTTTCTCACCTTTTCAAAAATATATAACACCATGTACTTTTCCCCAGAAGGTAGAATTGAGATCTACGGAAAAAGTTAAAGAAAAAAAGAAAAGTAATATAAGATACAGTTTTCATATTTTCGATGTGATAGTTGAGATACGAGGGTTGTCTGAAAATGCAATATTTTCTATTGAGCTCTGTATATTCAAGACTAAAATGTTGTGATCGCCTGAAAACTGCAACTTTCTATATAAAAATAACGGAGATACCCGGCAAAAATTATCCAAAATGAAACACATTGTCCAAATATTGCGTAAAAAATTACGCTCCACCTTCGAGTTACGTCATTGTTTATTTGGAAATTAAAATTAGTTATTTTGAGTGGATATTAAAAATCGAATTGGAAAATGTTACCGTCTCGCCTATCCAATACGTGCGTATTTATTTACCAAATTTTGTTTGTCAGTTCGTAATTACTTGTATGTGTAAGCCATGTGTTAATCTGGGACATGTGCATGCAGTTATTTTATTTTGAAACCGATATTGTATCTCAATGTCAGAAGAATTAACATTTGAGCATAGCGAACGACTTGCCAAATGATAATGATAATGCTAGTTTGACTATATTCGCTGAGAATATACACAACTTGAAAAGGAATTTTTTTTCTGATTTGCAACAGCCTACCTCAGCTCATAACACGAAAAGAACTTTGATATAAATATCCTCTCGTTCTAGCTTACTTTATTCTGTAAACGGTATGTATATATATATATATATATATATATATATATATATATATATATATATATATATATATATATATATATATATATATATATATATATATATATATATATATATATTTCTAATATGAAATAAAGAAAGTCTTTGCAAAAGTTGAGAA